GTAGCACACAGAACCCCCGGGTTACCAAAGAGTAGGGGGTGCTGTGGAGATCATTTTTCTTGGAAAATTGTGGAAAGAGACGATTCACCTTGGGGAGTGGAGACGATATTGTAAAAAAAATGGTTAAGGGGGTTGTTCCGCCATTAATTTTAAATATATTAGGCACATAGTTGGTATACCTGATCACAGGGTCTTTTTTATTGTAATTGGTACCAATTTTCTTTTCAAGGTCCCCTAACCTTTTAAGGTATTTCTGCTTCAAAGAAAACATAATGGCAAAAGTCGATTTAGAGCTCAAAAAGGTACGTAAACCAAGATAAAAACGTACAAAACGCTTACATTAACCTTAGGCCTTTACAGAGCTGCAACAGAAGGCCATCGAAACCGCCCAACAATTAAAACTGTCCGACATTCAAATCGAGAATTTAAAGCGGAACAAACAGCACGCCGCACTTACGGAAAGGTCTCGAGTGTATTCCAATTTTGTCAATCTTAACAGTTTGCTGTTTTAGAGAGATTTCGAATTTGAATTCCAGCACAAATACCTACGACAGTATAGGTCGTATGTTTATGCTGTCGCCGTTAAGCGAGATCAAGGAGAATCTCAAAAAGAAACAGGCAACGGCAGAGGAGAAGATTAAAACTTTAGAAAACAATAAAGCATACCTCGAGAGGAGTTTGAAAGATTCAGAGAATAACCTGCGAGAGATGGTGCAACAGAGAAAAGACGCGCTCGAATGATTTATTTGTATTAAAATTACAATAATGCTATTTACTATTAAATTAAAGTGTTAAGCTTGTGATTCTAATGCCGTTTCGAATAGTAGGGGCAGTGCTGCGGGTTTTTCGTCGGAGTACAGCGGCTTGTGTAGTAGTTTAAATATACCAGTACCGATAGCGGCGGGCATTCCCATTATGATGTTTTCTGAAACGCCATTTATTTTATCCGTTTGTCCGTAATACGCTGCATCGAAGAGGTGATCGGCGGTTTTCTCAAACTGAAACATTTTATTAGCTGCTGTATTTACTGAAGTCCTAGGCAAAAAAGACATTTCATTTATGAGAAAATTTGAATGAATATCTGAAGCTGTTTTTATCCACTTTTTCCTTTTTAAAATAGTTTAAAGTATTTCGTTGTAGCCCCCAAACTTTAATTCATTTATCTGTGTGGGGCTGGATGGTATTTGATACCAGGAAAGAGATATTTCATGAATTTCCCACAAGAATTTATGTTGAAATTCCGAGATCTCTTCTTTCTTGGAATATACCTGTGTGTGGCTGGGCCTCGTGTTACACATCCCCTCAAATTTTTAGAACATTAGTATTCTTGTGGTTATTTTTCAAGGAGGCCATGGAATCTTTACTCTTTTTTTAAATGTTTTGGAAAACAACACAGCAACAGGGAATGTTCCAGAGCCTTCTTTGAAAATGATCACAAGAGTGCTGAAAGTTTAACAATTCAGGAGGTCAAGTCCGAGGGGTCTGGGGGTTATGCAATACTCCCCAGCAGACACAGGTATACATACAGGAAAGAAATATTCCGTGAATCTCCCTCACAAATTATTGGAATTCCGAGAGCTTTTGGTCAGGACACGAAAACACATGCAATCCTAGGTCTAGCTACTAATTCATGCAAATGTACTAAAAGAGATATGTCTTTTTCACTTTGGATGGCAATTTAGCTAGGAAAGGTGGATTACCGAGGCCAAGTTGAAAACCGACTGCTTCATTTTCGCCAATCCGTCACGAGTGATCCCCAAAACCTCGCCCGTATGCGTCATCTGCGCGGCGAGTAGCATTATGTGCCGATAATCGACGCTCATTCCGTGATTTTCCATTACCATTTTGATTTCGTGCATAATGGTTTGCCTAAAGAATGAAAATCACCAAACGCCGAAGTAAGCACACTTTACCTCGCCGCTTCTATTCCCAAAGTGTGGAACACTTCGATTATATTATTCGAAATGGTCCTGTGGCCGTCTACACCGTATGTCGCCATTACCTCTCGCAGATTGTCACCCTCCACACAGAGATTGTAGTGGGAAACGCCCTGTTTGTCTTCTCTAGCTATTACCGCTCTGTTAACAGTTGGTAGACCCTTTATTACAACGTCGGGGATGACCTGTTTCAACTCTTGCAGTGCAAAATTGAGTCTCTGCGAATGTTTCGAATGATTTGCTCGCACGAGGATTACAGTATCGGACACTACCTCCACATCATTTGGTTTCAACTTTAATCGAGACGTGCACAAACTGCAATGGGGGTAATAGAGAAAAGTTATCGTACTAAAAGTGTAGGTACCTGTAACGAATTGTTTCTGTATTCACTTCCAGTTGCAGCAGATTAATCCTTTCACAATCTATTTTTATCATCAGAAAACAGTCACTTTTCATATACACATCATCGATGTACGATGTGATCTACAAAGACCAAAAGTGGAACAAATATCTACACTGGAAGGTTCCCATACCTCGCCTAACCTTGTTCGTTCCACTCTTCCTTTTACTCGCCTTGCGAATTCAGGATTGTGTGGGTCGACTAAAGACGCTCTAATTATAGGAGTACTAATGCTTTTGGACGCGTTAATGATTTCCTTTATTCTGCAAAAAGCTTACAGTATACCTACCCATCCACCGCATATAATCTCACCTTGGAACGCCCTGCGTAATGTTCATACTGGCGACGCCGGCAAAATGGAAAGTTTTCAGCGTCATCTGGGTGCCGGGTTCGCCGATACTTTGCGCGGCCAACGCGCCCACGGCGGTGCCCGGTTCGATCACGGATCTCGCGAATTTTTGGCCGCAGGTCTCGAGGAACGTGACAAGCTGACTGCAGGTGAGTCTCTCGATTTCCTTTACGGCGGCGCCGTTTCCGAACTTTTCGCAGATCCTCTCCAGCTTACAGGCTATCGCCTCCATGAATTTACTGAAAGAAAATGGCGCGTTTTACACAATTTATAGTTATATCGCAAAGATCTAAAAATCTAAAAAAGGAAAAGAAAGGCGCTCTCACAACTACTCAACAATAGCCACCGACCAACACGACGTATTACACACCATTGTCCTGTAATTGGGATAATTTTTTGTTCTGTTGGGCAATTAATAGTACATTATATATCAAGGTAGAGAAGTCCAGTATTATTGCCTGAGCACCAAGATTACATCTCGAGGCGCTTGCGCCGAGGGGTGTAAGGTGCGAAGGCAATAAGAGACTTCTCTACCGTGGTATATATACTATTTTTTTCACTACTAGCACTTGAAATCCTCTAAATTAACATATTATATTGATAAGAGAGTTAACGGTTGGACAGAATTTTTGTTTATTAATTTAACACGTCAATCAAGTACGTGGAAGTACAAGTCAAATAGGCCGTATTTTGTTCTGTCATTGAGATTTTTCAAAGAGTAATTTCGTTCGAATTTTTTCAAAATGTGATAATTTTAGGTATGTAATTTCTCTGGAAATTGCGAATGGTGGCAATTATTCGTTTTAGAGAACTTGTCTAAACGTTCATTGAGCGAAATTTCGGGTTGTGTTTTCTAAAAGTGACAGCGTGACAGTTCTCATTATTGACTACTAGTTAATAATAAAAAATTATTAACCACTTTGAACAAATGCCGAGAAAGCCTACTTTACAAGTGGAAAAAAGGTTAATAATCATGTCATCAGACGCTAGTAGTGAAAAAATATTATTATTATAACACGTTGCACTCACCTAATTTAACCGCGCCCCCACCAATAACTTTCAACTCTCCACCCAATCCGCTCTAAGAAATTTGCAACAGCAACCTCCATCGACGACGCCAGCGCATCACACATCATAATAATAAATAATAATAATGACTTTATTTGGACACACTATGACAAATATACAGTGTGGGAGGTTGGCAACGGAACATAGGGAGGAAAATACATTTTCGGCAATTCCTGCTCGCCATTTTAACTTACAGGAAAAATAAAAACATTATCGGATAGATAATTAAAATATCCATCGGATAATAATAATAATAATAATCTTTATTGTTCCGTTGACATTTATATCATGAACAAATTAATCTTCACTAGCAAGAAAAAGAAAACCATCAAACATAACATTCGAATTTAAAAGAAAAGCACAACATAAAAAAAAAGGTATAGCAAAATCAATATCTATTCTTCGGCTGTAGGTACTCCATACGAAAGAGAGCAAATTTCTTAATTTATTTACTTTTGTAATTATTGATATTCTGTCACTCATTCAACAGAAATGATCTCAACTTCATAGTCTCCATCAGAAAAATTGTTTCTGTTTAAATTTTGTAATATTGTAAATATAACACGATCTGGAAAAATAGTAACAAGCTCTTTTCTGAGAGGTTGGTATAGTGGGCACTCAAAGAAGAAATGTTGGAGAGTTTCGCATTGATGTGTGTTGCATGTAGTACATATATCTGTGAGTTTTATTTTATAGTTGATTTTATTGACGTACAGGGTGGCCAAATAAGAATGCGAGGTACTGTATCTGGGAACCTGTCCATCGTAGAGGCTTGCGGTAAAAAAATTTATTACTAAAACGGCCACAAGAAAAACCTGGAAAATATTTTTAAGTTTCTGCAACGGCCGCTAGGGGCGTAACTGCAATCTGGAATCTGTGAATTTCGCTATATTAACCTAACAAAAAAATGTCCGGTCTTTGAAGTTGACGATAATCTGAACAATTTTTGTTTGACAATTTTTCCTGTATCTCTAAAAATGAAGTGGTGGGGGGTATTCAAAGGTTTCCGTAAAGAACACCCTGTATCTTCGAAACGATTGAGCCGATTTTAACAAACTCGGGTTAATTGAAAAGAGTTATTCTTCGGCTACAAATATTATAATATTTGAGGTTTTGTTAGTTTCACATATCGCCGCTTGAGGGTTTTTTTAGACATTCCGACAAAAATGGTTAATTTTCTCAAAAAAATTAAATGCGTTGGTTTGATTTTTTTTCATAAAAAAGTAGCTAAATGATGTCTAAACAAGCTCGCGAAAACCGCATCTCGATATCTTGTTCCTAACCTAAAATTTAGGCCAAAGATAATTTTGTACTCTCAAAATTTTATTTTTTTTAAGCTAATTTTTCCGGAATTATTTTTATTATATAATTTGTGGTCCTAAGGTGCATCGATTTAAAAAAGGAAATGCCTCTAGATATCGAGATGCTGTTTTTGCGAACTTGTTTAGGCATCATTTAACAACTTTTTCATGAAAAAAAAAATCGGACCAATGCATTTAATTTTTTTGAAAAAATTAACCATTTCTGTCGAAATGTCGAAAAAAGCGCTCAAGCGGTGATATGTGAAACTAACAAAACTTCAAATAGTATAATATTTGTAGGTGAAGGCTCTTTTGAACTAACCCGACTTTGTTTAAATCGGCTCAGCTATTTCGAAGATACAGGGTGTTCTTTACAGAAACCTTTGAATACCCCCCACCACTGCATTTTTAGAGATACAGGAAAAATTGTCAAACAAAAATTGTTCAGATTATCGTCAACTTCAAAGACCGGACATTTTTTTGCTAGGTTAATATAGCGGAATTCACAGAAACATCACTTTTTTAGCTTCCAGATTGCAGTTACGCCCTCTAGCGGCCATTTCAGAAACTTAAAAATATTTTCCAGGTTTTGCTCGTGGCCGTTTCAGTAATAAATTTTTTTACCGCAAGCCTCTACGATGGATAGATTCTCAGATACAATACCTCGCATTCTTAATTGGCCACCCTGTACATTACTACCATATCTTTATTGTGAGTTTTAATTTGCATTAAGATTCTTTTATGTTTCAAGGGAATCGGCAATCTTATGATGGAGTCTGATGTGTTTGCGAGAGGGTTTTGTTTCAGAGTGTTACAATATACACTCAAAAGTACTTTATCCCAATCATCGTTAGTTTTTGTTAGTGTATTTATCAAGGGTGTCTAAAATGTAATTGTTATCTACCCATTCTAGGTTAAGGTACCTAATCTTCGCGAATGCTCTCTATGAACTTTTTGATTTGTGTGTACCGAAATACAATAATTTTTGTTTTATCCACGTCAACAGTTAGGCTGTTAACAGAACGGTAACTTTCTAGTGCCCGTAATGCTTTTCTCATGTTTGGCGCAGACTTAGCAAATATGACCAAATCATCAGCGTACATTAAAAGCGTTATATCAGTTCCGGCATCTAAAGGAGCTCCACTTACTCCTTAATTTTTCAAAAACGCTTCCATGTCTGCTGTGAAGAAAGAAAAGAGTAAGGGACTTAGAACATCACCCTGTAGCACACCTTTGGTGATATTAATTGCCTCTGATTGACGCCCCTCTTGCTCGATCTGCAATGTCGCTTTAGAGTAAAAACCTTTTATTAATCTTATGAGTTTAGCACTTATTCCCGTTTTACCATAAAAGATCGTGTTGAATTGAATCAAATGCCTTTTTGAAATCTACAAATAGAACGTACATCCTTTGCTTTTTTAAACGAATATTATTAAAAATAATTGCATTAAGTATAAAAATATTGTCTTGACAGTCCCTTCCTCTTCTAAAACCACACTGATCTTCTGGTAATATTTGAGATTCTTTTACAAAGTTCAATATTCTATTATAAATAATATAGTTAAATATTTTGGATATAATAATTATACTGTAAAAGATTGACCTGTCATCAAACTTGACTGAAAATAAATCACGAACTTCGCCGTGTATTATTCCCAGTACAAAACGATTTTACAATAAAGACCTTTTTTTCTGTACTGTAATTATTATTCTAGTTGGCGTGTTTATTAGAGATGACAGTTAAATCAAAGAATTAGGTGACAAATGCTGTAGGTAAATCATGGCCAACCAATTTTTTACTACCTTTTTAGATTTATTTATTTAACTTTTATCCTTTTAAAAAATCGGTTAGGCACGCTTTTTTGGTGACATCTAATTTAATTATCTCTCCGAGGGTGTTTTTAATTTTTCTTTAGGTTGAAATGGGAAGCAGGAATTGCCGAAAATTTTCCCAAGTAATTTCCTTATGTCCCGCCATCAACCTGCCACGGTGTCGCATGACGACACACTTAACCCAACTACTCATGGCTGAAGAAACAATGGAATGAGCGGACACGCATCCATTTCAGTTTTACCACCCGTGTCAGCATGAATAATGCTGTCAGATGGATTCCGGGCCTATAAACCTAACAGGCGACTGAAATTGACGAAGCGCATGGCTCCAATTGAGTAAAACACACAAGGAAGAATTCGAACTCTTGAGTTCCTTTGGAGCACCCGCTACCGCATACACTTTCTACATAATTATGCTTCTCTAATAAAACAACATGACAGTACCAGTATTGGTTTTCACATCACAAGAATCTACGTACCTTAACTCGCTCTTAAAGTCTTCACTGCACTCGTTCAAAGAGTTTGTTGCTAAAAACGCCTTTGTTGCTCGACGAATTTGATCAGCATCTAAAGCAATTTCGTCCCTATAAGGACACTTCGCGCGTATGTGGGCCAAGACACGATCGAAATCCACCGGACAATCTTTTCCTATTTCAAAAACGGTTTACACAAACACACTACCGCCAGACTTAGCAATTACCTTCCATACAAGAGGGATCTAAGCCGTCACATCCGTACGAAATCTGAATGATATCGCCTTCGGCGTTACGCACCGACCCGTCGTAATGCACCACCAAGTCTTCTAGTGACTAAACGTACAAAATTAATTTCCACCGTTTGCTCGCGTCCAATTTACCTTAACTAAACGTCGCTGCATGTAGCCGGTCTCTGCAGTTTTAACGGCGGTATCCACCAGCCCCTCTCTGCCGCCCATGGTGTGAAAGAAAAACTCGGTCGGCGTTAAGCCCGAATAGAAGCTATTCTCGACAAAGCCCTTCGCCGCAGGGGTCTTCGCTGTAAGGCGCCGGTTAAAGTGGCAAACGGAAACGCCCCGATACTTACAGTTGTGTTCGAAGTGCGGCAAAGATCGATCGTTAAATCCGTTGGGCACGCGTTTGCCGTTTAACGCTTGCTGCCCTACGCACGCTATCATCTGGGAAATGTTGATAAATGAACCTAAAATTGAACCCTTTATTAGGCAAGTGGCAGAGCTGGGCAGTATTCCATTTTGTAAATACTTTTTAGTATTCAAATCCTTTAAAGTATTCAAATACTTTGTAATTAAATACTTTTATGGAAGCAGTTTTTTACCAAAAATCGACTGCACTAAAATTTCTCGGGAAAACACTTTTTCTTGTTAATTTTGGTGCGTAGAATCCAAAACAATTCGTACTTTTTCGATGAGACTTCTCAATCAAGAGCTATAGACTAGAAAGCAATTTCCAAAAAAAATTCAAAGGGCTGTAACTTTTGAACTAGTAGCCCAATCTTGGAATTGTTTGAAATTATGGATTCTACAGGCCACGTTCTATAAGAAAATTTTTTTTCCGGGTCGTTCTGAGACAATTTTTTTTCCGGGGCAAAAAAAAGGCAGTGTATTACCTTCCTTTTTCCCAAAAAACGACTGCACCAAAATTTCTCGGAAAAACACTTTTTCTTATTAATTTTGGTCCGTAGAATCCAAAACAATTCGTACTTTTTCGATCAGACTTCTCAATCAAAAGTTATAGACTAGAAACCAACTTCGAAAGAAAATTCAAAGGGCTGTAACTTTTGAAGTAGTAGCCCAATCTTCAAACTGTTTGAAATTATGGATTCTACAGGCCACATTCTATAAGAAAATTTTTTTCCGGGTCGATCTGAGACAATTTTTTTTGCGGGCCTCAAAAAAAGGCAGTGTATAACCTTCCTTTTTTACCAAAAATCGACTACACCAAAATTTCTCGGGAAAACACTTTTTCTTATTAATTTTGGTGCGTAGAATCCAAAACAATTCGTACTTTTTCGATCAGACTTCTCAATCAAAAGTTATAGACTAGAAACCAATTTCGAAAGAAAATTCAAAGGGCTGTAACTTTTGAACTAGCAGCCCAATCTTGGAGCTAAAATACTTTTTGAAAGTATTCTGCCCAGCTCTGGCAAGTGGCAAACATTCCAGAAATTTCAATAGACATCGAGGCGCCATGAAAGATTAGTCATCAGCGCACAAGCGGATGTGACGGAGGAACCATCGTCCTCACTTTTTAATTTTTAATGAACTGAATCTGTCAAACGTTACCTTTCGATCCAGACAATGCCATAATTAACGGACTGTTTGTAGGATGCAACTCGGATACGCAAGCCTGTCCCGCGTGTTCACGAATAACGGATAGTTCTTTTAAAATGACAGCTTCCAACGTCTCTTCCTCACTACATCCCGGTTGACAAGGCAGCTTGCCTTCGGCCATGGCTTTAATGTACTCATCGCACTTGGAATACCTAACCACAAGTGAGTACCGTTCGCTACACAACACATCTTACCCTCCATCCAGTAAGGCGTTCTTTTTACGAATTAAGTTCTCCCCGGGCGTGACGTCGCCAATACCAATCGAAAATCCGCTATTCATCAAGAGATAGGAAGCCAATTTACCCAACCGCCACATCGATTTAATCGCAAACGCCTGCCCGAAGTCCCTCAGGATCACGTAAAATATATTGCTACCTTTTCCGCCCGAACCTAAGTGACCTTTGTCGAGCGTGCCGGCGAGTAGCTCCGAATTACGGATCAACACGTACGAGTCCTTAACGCACAGCTCCTTGTCCTTCGTGTAGGCCTTGCCTTTCGCCTCCAGGTTCGCTTTTATCGTACTTTCCCTGTTGGGCTTCAGTATGATGCCAAAAATTTGCTTGCCGGTCCATAAACGTCTAGGCTAACTGTGGATTAGTGCTCGTCAATTGAGTAATATGATAAAAACCTTTAAAATGGCGGGAGGTGGAAGATTGATGATGAGGTTTGCGTCCTCCCCTGCTAGAATTGTCGCAGCCAGTTGGGACGCGTGTACGAAATCGAGAAACGTATCCTTTTTGGTTAGAATGTAGGCGCCCGTCAGGAAATCTTGGGTGGCTGCTATGAGAAGTTCCCCGTTTCTTGGAGTTACCAAATTGTTTTTATTCTAAAAGTCGTTTCTAGTAATTTAGACCTTCAAATGTATTAACCGGGGTACACCACTTTGAAAATGCTAGAAATTTGGAAATGCTCGGAAATTTTTACCAATTGTACAGGGTAGCGCATTTCTTATAAGAGATAAGGAAAAAGGCCAACGTGTTTCATTCCTCCGGCACCCCTGACTACAGGGATACCGGAGGCGGGCTGCTCAGGGCTTCCTGGCCCTCTTCAGCCAGAGAACGGGATTGTAAGGATGGGTAAATGGGAACGGAAGGAACGGAGTTAGGGTGCTGAGGGGGAGAGTACTGCTCCAGCATTTGCCTCGTAGATTTCAACATAATGCTAGCATTATGCGAAGCTACGTATGTCTGAGGAAAACCCCCTGACAAAACCCCAGACAGAGCAATCGGCAGCGGGATTCGAACCCACAACCTCCCGAATAGCATCGGTGAGCGCGACCACTGCGCCACGTGCCTCGGTTATAAGAGATAGAAAAAAAAAAAAAACTTTAAACACAAAAGTTGTGGGGTTTGTCATAAATCGTCAGAAAATGTAAAGTAAAAAAACCAATGAATATCGCATAGTAAAAAGATGCACATTTTTAATAAAACACACAGTATATTTTAAAAAAATTGAATAATCTCTTCTTTCTGATTTCAAAAATTTATGTTAACATTTGTTTTGGCCTTTTTTTTAATATTTGCATTTATAATATATTATCAAATTGTTTGACCAAATCACAGTTGCCATAACAAAACAAAATGACCATTATTATTTATTTATTAATATTTTTGCGCTGGTTGCGATGTTGCAATTATTTATTTACAATATAATATACATACATATTTACAGATGTACATGGAGCGCTGTTTACTCGGCAGTATTGCTGGCGAACGGCAACGGCGTATCTTCTGGGGTCGTTAGTATGCACCATTGATGGATTGATGTAATGGTAGGGAACTGACATGTCAGTTATCGGAATGTGCACCCGGCGGATGATCTGGTGCGCCCTGGCCGGTGATGGCGGTAGCGGGCTCAAGCATGTAGGAACATTTGGTCGGTTGAAGAACTCTCGGATGATGTTCCACGACGTTTCTTTATTTATTTATTTATTTATTTATTTATTTATTTATTTAACCAGAAACCATACAGAATAAAAATTCCAATTACATGGCACTGGGGCTCTGAACAAATATTAGGACTAGGATCTAATTTTATTTATTATTGAATTTAGGGGATCGTGAAAAAAGTCGATATCATTAACTGAGGATAACTTATTTAAAGCGATCAAGATCTTAATAAGTGGGGAAGTTGTGTTGTTAACTACAAAAATAGTATTATTTTGCCTTAGCTTAACAAATGGTACCTTAAGCTTAATTTCTTGAAGTAATTCGGAAGAGTATAACAAGTTGTGTAAAATTTTGAAGACAAAAATTGTGGAGGCAATGTACCGTCGGGTTTCTAACCTCGTTATATCTAAGCCGAAAGTACTATTTAAGTAATTAAGCTGGGTACCGTAAGAGATCAAATGTGGATAATTTTGGGTTGACCTAAAAAACATTACTCGGATGAACTTTTTCTGCACTTTTTCGATCATGTCTGAGTATTTGAGAGTTTGAGGAGACCAGATACATGCAGCATACTCAAGCTTGGATCTAATAAACGCATTATATAAGGTTAGCATTGTCTGTATATTCGTGAAATTGAGTGTATGCCTGATAACGAAACCAAGAAGTTTGTAACACTCATTTGTTAGGTATTCAATGTGTAAGTTAAAGTTAAGGTTGGTATTGAAAAACACGCCCAGGTCCTTAACGGAGGTGACTCGTAGTAAGACCTTTCCATTCATCTTATAGTCAAAAAGTAAGGGATTTTTCGATCTAGTAAAAGTAAGGACTTTACACTTATTGATATTTAGTTTTAGTTTATTTTTGATACACCACTTAATTACTGAGTTAATGTCCTCTTGAATATTTAAACAGTCACTTGGGGATTGGACTTTATTAAAAAGTTTTAGGTCGTCCGCAAATAGTAGTGCTTTCGAGTTTTTTATCACTCGCGGTAAATCATTTATGTATAAGAGAAACAGAAAAGGACCAAGAAGTGTTCCCTGGGGAACGCCTGATGAGGGATAAAATTCGGCTGAATTCACACCATTGAATTTCACTCTTGTTTTACGGAGAGATAAATATGATTTTAAGAATTTGACGGTCGGATTACTTACGCAATTTAAAACAAGTTTACGGAGCAAGACTTGATGGGATACTGTATCAAATGCCTTCGCAAAATCTGTATAAACACAGTCAACCTGGGCTCTCTCATCCAAGGCTCCTGCTGAGAAATGCGTAAACTGCATTAAATTTGTAATCGTTGATCTGTTCCGCGTGAAACCGTGCTGCTGATCTGCAATTATACTGCTGAGATGGGAATAAAGTCTAGTATAGATCACTCTTTCGAAAATTTTCGCTATTGCTGGTATAATTGCAATTGGGCGATAATTCTCAACTAATTTTCGGCTTCCACTTTTGTGAATTGGTGTTATTCTGGTGCATTTCCAAGCTTCAGGGAATGTACATGTTTGCAAAGCTAAATTAAATAGATGTTGTAAGGGGGTTACCAATAAAGATGCACATCCTTTCACGATGTAGGGTGGGATTCCATCTTCGCCTATAGCCGACCTCGGTTTCAATTTTTTAATTGCTTCCAGTATCTCGGATTCATGTAACTGAGTCAAGTGCAATTTGGATAGCACCAGGTCCGATTCCACGTCATCTTCCGGGTCATCGTTCCTCTCCATAGTGTAGACTGACTCGAAGAAGGATGCAAAGGCGTCCGCAATGCTTCTGGCGTCCGTTAACGAGGTGTCTTTGTACTCAAAAACTCCAGTAGTTGACTATTCTTCCTCAACGACTTGATGTAGTTCCAGAATTTATTGGAATTCTTCCGCAGATCCATTTCAATTTGATTAATGTACCTCTTATGAGCAATGTGGATCATTCTTTTGAGTTCTTTTCTGGCTTCAATGAAGTCTTCCGATGGGCCCTGTAACCGAAACTTATTTTTCTGTTTGATTTTCTTAATAATGTCTATATTAAACCAGCTAGGATACTTATTGGCACTCCTAATTGTAACTTTGGGGACACATTCATCGAAAATGTTCATTACCGTTTGATTAAAGCTAGTTACTGCATCATCTACCGATTTGAAATTCTTCAGGATAAGAGACTCCTTCCAATTGATATCGCGAAAAAGGACGTACATTTTAAGAAAATCTGCTTTTTTGAAATTGAAGTTGGTTAATTTGGTAATTCGCTTAGCTGGTCTATGGACTTTGTAGACTATTTCTAGTGCAGGATGAAGTGGATTAATTTTATCCAGTGAGTCGACAGCAGATTTAATTTCCGCGTTTAAGTTAGTTAAAATTAGGTCAAGGGTTCTATTATTGCAGTTTTTAAGTTTAACCGTATTAATGAGTTTTAAGTTGTACATCGAAGCTATATTTTTAATTACTTTGCATTTAGCACTCGCGTTTTCGAAATTATACGTGGCGTCAACAATTTGTGGTAGGTTAAAATCGCCTGCTATTAACACTTCCGATGAATGCAACATGTTTTCAATTGTTTCTAAACTTTTGGTAAAACTCACGTACTTATCAATACCAGATTTCGGTTGAAAGTAGACAACACCAATAATGTATGAAGTATTATTAATTTTAAGTTTGACCCATATTTCATTTAGATCACTTTGAAATTCCAATTTTTCAGCATTCAAATCGGTCTTGACTGCGATTAAAACTCCGCCTCCCATGGTGCACTTCATTTCTTCGTAATTACGGTCATTGCGAAAGACCGCATATTGATTGTTTAAATACTCAGCGTCATGAAAATTTTCCGTTAACCAGGTCTCAGTCAGTAGAATAATGTCGTAATTTGTAATTGCCAATTTATTTTTGAAAGATTGCGCTTTCGTTCGCATTCCACTTACGTTCTGATAATAGATTGAGAGCGTTGATCCGTACCTATTTCCTTGCTTGATTAGTGTTGGGGATGGCCTAAAAAATCAATTCTGCTTCTTTCTTGATCGAGTCGTTTTTTGTAGACTGGGCAATCAACACTCCAGGCCGGGTGCTGTACATCCAGTTTCATTTTTAGTTTCTCAACGGCGTTGGCACAGTTACTGCATTTGATTTCCGCGTCCGAAGCTTTACAGCTCGCTAGGTCATGGTCTCCCGCACATTTGGGGCAGGTAGTAGTTTTGCTACAGTCAGTTGCCTTATGTCCGAACCCATTGCATTTGTAGCATCTTCTAGTTGTCACAGCATCATAAATTCTGCAACGGTCCCATCCTATGTTAAGCTTTTGTTCACTTAGAATTTTCCGGTAACTATTACCGTCAACCTCAGCGTAAGCCAAATACCTGTTAGGATTTCTTTTATCTTCCGTTATGTGTACGACGTTTATGTACGCGGCTTCGTCGAGGAATTGATTCTGCGCGAGAATCATTTCCTTCATTTGGGTACTCCCGATCTTGTCATTGAGGCCTACGATTTTAATCTTCGGCATCTTCTGTTTTGGTAAGGAAAGAATGTAGTCGGATCCCAGTTTCGTTTCGGCTTCCTCCTTAAGTTTGGCTGCAGCTTCTTTATTTTTACATTCAACAACAATGGTTCCTCTACGTAGAGTTTTCATTCCGGTAACTTCTCGGGTAATTGGATCCGATATTTTCTTTGAGGGTGGTGAAGGTTTGCTTGGAGGGTTGGTTCGCGTCCTTGGGCTTAACAATGATAACTGGGTCATAGGTTTTCTGTTTCAACTTGTCCGCATAAGTAAGCTTCACTTCAGATTGAGTTTGGAGAACTTGCGCTAGATCCTTGCTGATGCTGACATTTTGGGTATTTACCTGGTCTAAAGTATCCTTTAATAGCTTCTCGTGGTTCATCAGTTTCTCGTGCTGACTTTCCATAACTCTATCCCAGTTCATCGTCACTTTGTTGATGTTAGTCAAGATATTCCTGAGGCTGTGTGATTCGTGGATAGCGCAGGGGTCACAGAACCAATTAAAGTTCTTTTTTGAGTTAATAAATTTAACTTCATCGTCACTGACTTTAACGCACTTCGTGTGAAAGTAAGTTTGGCACCAACTAGCACAAAGAATAACTTTATCTGTACGATTAAGATCCACCCGACAAACACCACAGATTGCAGTTGGCATTGCGGCGGCAAGTAAGGGTGGTACTCACCCTCACGATTTGGTTTATATTAACAAATTAGTTCTATTCTTAATTGACACTTATAATCGCGATCGACCACTCGTTACGACGGCGCGCACTCGAATTTAGGGTCACTGGCGGCATTTGCTTGGCCCCAGAGGGCTTGGTCTTCAGGCTGAGGGAAGCTGACGAGTAAAAATTATCCAGGCTAAATAAATAACTTGGAAGCGTAGGCTAAAGAGCGCTACTGGGTCTTGACGTGCTAGAGAACGATGCGCGCGCAGTAATACGTGACGTCACAGTGTTTATGGCGAATAGTGGGCGCGCATTGTTATGTGACGCCCCAATAGGTAATTTGTTTTTACCCTGGAAATATCTTAGGCCAACTTTCTTCAAATACGGCTAAAGCAAATGTCAACATAATATATATTTTTGACATCTGAAAGAGATCTATTCGGTTTTTGAAAAATATACAGGGCGTTCCATTAAAAATTGACCAAATTTGCATTTTTACTATCTTTACGATATTCATTTGTTTTTTTATACTTTTACTTTTGCATGTAAAGTTTTTTTCTATCTCTTATAATAAACGCGTTGTGTAAATATGCGGAATACCCCTGTACACTAAAAATGCCATAGTGATCGTATACAACATTTTGTAAATTGAGATATCTGTGGGAAATTTTTAAAATGGTACACAATTTTGGAAATGTAACTACGGTGTACGTGATATGGTAAGTGGTCCACCCCTCAAATATTAATTTACACACCCCCATTAATATTAGAGCCTCAGCTTTTGCCTCTTCGGTTTGTGGTAAATGTAAGTTCATTTCATCACCGTCAAAATCTGCATTATATGGATTACAAACACATTCGTTAAATCTGAACGTGCGGTGATTGTGAATCTTTGCTCGATGTGCCATGATTGACAGCTTATGCAGACTGGGTTGTCGATTGAAAAGTACGACGTCGTCATTGCGCAAGTGTCTTTCCACTAGGTCGCCTAACTACAACAGCAATTACAAAAAAACGAACAAAACGCTGGCGCAGTTACCTTCAGCTCCTGTGCCAACTTTTCCCGATTACCGTACTTCAGAAACTTCTTAAATTGGGAACCCTTCTGTTGCACGTAATTGGCACCGGGCCACGTATCGGGCCCGTTTATCACTAACTGCCGCATTAGGTACATATTCGCGTGAATAACGCGCTCGGGGAAAGTCAAAATCTTCGCGATATGACAAGGCACTCCCACTTGATCGATTTCGAGATTCGGATCGGGAGAAATGACCGTACGAGACGAAAAGTCTACACGCTTACCCGACAGATTTCCACGAAATCTTCCTTGTTTACCTTTGAGGCGTTGCACCAATCCACGACCGGGCTTTTTCGGCTGCAAAACTACGTCATTAATTAATTAAGGATGAGACGGGCTTGCCATCATCGCCAGAGGAACTCCCGATAGCTCGCTGTTGATGTATAACGCGGTGTGCAACTGCAGAAAGTCCCAACCTTCTTGGTACATATTGACCGACGCGCCCGACAACTTATGCTTTTGAATGGCGTCATTTATAAAAATGATTTCGGACTGCTTCATGGTCAAATCATCCTCATTTCTGAAAAATAAAATCAAAATTTTCTGTTAGGAAAACCTGAAAAGCCTTTAGAATACTTTTTGGGAAAAAATACCCTTTCTCAAAGGTCTTCGTGGAATGTTCAATTTTGAGCCTCCCAAGAAAGCTGCAAGCCCTTGGAAGTCTTAAAATGTGGGTCTTTCTTACAAAGGTTTGTCTGATATCATATAAAACCTTTTTGAACCTTAGAAAACCCCCTAGAGCTCCTCCCAAACATGAGACACAATGATTTTGAAAATCTAAGGCATTTTCTACTCACGTTCCTGCTTTTAAGTCGGATAGAACTGACGGTCTTATGCAGACTGGAGGAACCAACATACGCGATAGAATAAGATCTTTAGGCCGTCCCCTAAAAACCAATCGGTAAACTTTGCAAAGGAAGAGGGTAAATACCTTTTGGGATCCATTGCTAAAAGTGGAATATCGGCCTCAGGTATACATTTAAACAGTTGTAAAACATCAATAGGCGTTAAAACCTGGGATAATGCAGCTGTGGATATTACCGATTCCAATTCTGCATTCATTTCAATGGCATTATTAAACTCATCTGCAAGCAACGAGAGTAATATAAGACCCGTTTACCGAATTGCCGTACCCATAAATTCCTTGACAGTGCTATCGTTCTTTCCTCTGTATTTTTCATGGACGATCTTAAGCACAGAACCGCTGCCAGCTGTCTTACTAGCTGCCATCTTTTTAACGACGCCGTTAATATCCTTGCAATGCTTGCACTTGCTTATCTTCTTGCATTTCTCCAGCACTTTCTTTCGAATCGCCTTCTTGACCATGTAACTGAGATTGGGGTTTGTTAGACGGCGTCTGAATTGAACCTTGTCGTCGTCGTCAAGCAGCACGTGACCGCATCTCTTGCAAATCGATTGTAAGATAGAAATTATATTGCGAAAGTAACCGACGTGAAATACGGGAAGTTCCAAGTCTAAATAGCCAAAATGGCCAACACAGTCGTTTAAATTCTTTCCACAAGTTTGGCAAGGGGAATCTTTTTGATTTGTGCCCTAGAAACGATTTGCTTATATGCAACGTTGTAAAAAAAGTTTTACCATTCTTTGATCGAGTACGCCATACGGAACGGGCGTTCTGCTTTGGTCTTGGTTGTATAGATTCTTTGCAACAACGTGCAGGTGAGCTTGTTGTTGCATGCTTTCGGGACTTTCAAGCCCGAAGGTAACGTGGGAGCTGTAATTGCAACTTATGACTTTTTGTAACAGATAAACTTTACGTACATTTTTCTCGCGACATCTGCTTCGCGGTACTGCTCCTTTGGCATGGTTTATAGTCTAAAAATGGAAAATAAACAGTAAACACCGTGGTAATATTTTCGCCTTTCTTAACCCCACTTTTCCATTTTCATAACGAAAACGAATAAAGTGGTGTCTCACGTGCCGCACATACACAGTGCGTGATTTTTTATTTTACACACTAAAGCAAATGTGATTATTGATCCCTTAAACCACTCCTTATTCATGATGGGTATGTCAAACAGCCAATCAATTTTCGGTACGGCTTATTGAACTCGAGACCCTCCTTTAGCCTCTGCAACTGCAAATTTGCATACATCACTCAGGGTGGTAGACGGCTTGCATGCCAAACCAACGAAGAATTGCTGCAGTGAAACCCGGCTGGTTGAGCTTCATGATGCCTTCTTATTCTCAGAAACATCTGCACCTAGAACGACCATCTGGAATTTACACTGCGGCATTCTCTTCGCCTCTTCTACTTCTACCAAATCCTTGCACAGTATACAGTAGTAAAATGGGAATAATCATCCGTAAAAGAAACAGTATGGATCAGCTCTAGGATTATTGTTTTAATCTTCAAGCAACCCTCCACTACACAAACAAAATATCACCTCTCCCTATACTGAAATTTATTCCTACTGTTCTCCTTTTATGTGGTGAAAAGGGTGTCACAGATTCTTGCTCTAAAAAGTTACGTAAACTCTACTATAGAAGGTCTAGAGCCTACAATTGTTGTAGAAAACCTTTGTTCCGGAAATTTTCCAAATACTCCTAACTTCTACAGCTTTTGAGACACTTTTCTATAACATTTAAATGAGTAACACCTATTGTTCTTCAAAGAACTATTTAAAACTAACAACCCTAATTGCTTCTACACGAGACAATTTTTTAAAAATTATTTTTATTAAACGAATAGAAATGTCATTATTATGGAATTAACATTTTCACTTAAAAGTAAGCATTTTATATAAACTCCAAAAATGTATTTCATACACAAGTTTCCAATTGACCATTAAAAAAACAAATGCTTAATCCTCGAAAAAGAAATACTGCCCAGCCCTTTTCTGTTCGACGTCCTTAACAGATTCCTGCTTATTAATTCTAGGTCTAAAATTATTAGGATCTCTTCTAAATGTAATTCCCAACAGCTCCAAAAATCGGTTCATTCCTGCCAACAATGTTTGGGGGGAATGAGCGATGGTACTAACAGACGGTTGTCCTTCAAAGACGATAACTCGATCAGCCAAGTAAGTTGCCATGATAAAGTCGTGCTCGACCACGAAACCTGTTTTCTTCGCGTGCAATATGAATCTGTAAGCACAGCGGTTAACTTCGAAAGGGTAGCATTCGCGAATGTTACCTCTTGATCACCTTTGCGGCTACCAAACGTTGCTCGGAGTCGAGGTAAGCACTGGGTTCATCGACGAGGTAGACGTCCGCCGGTTTGCCAAGGCATAAAGTCATCGCGACACGTTGCAATTCTCCTCCGGATAAATTCTGCACCTCCTGGTCCATAATGTCCTCAATTTTCAAAGGTTTCATTACGTCCGTAATAAACTGAAGATTGAGCGTAAAGTAACAAGTTACACACAAAGAGATGATACCTGTGGATGAATGTAAGCGTCACGAATTTTTTCATGCAGTAACTGCCTGACAATTCCCTGAGATTTCGGACTGATCTTCTGCGGCTTATAACTGATGTGAAGTTGGGGCAGTTCACCTAAAACGATATAGTACTGATTATGTGTTACAAATAAGAGACACCAAATAAAAAAAAAATGTTTTCATGTACCCTTGCAAATGAATATAGGCAACACATCATACTCAGTTGCAATGTAATCCTTTTCTCGCTACTTCACAAGTTAAAAATGTATGTAATTAATGCCAATTTTCATTAATACCATTATGAATTCTGCAGAGAGACATTCATTTTAATAAAATGCAACTGTAGGACCCTAAATATTTTTCACCTTTTTATTAAGGAAGTGGCCTATTATTATTCCTCAGTATTAGTCACAAAAAAAAACCTACCAGAACCACTGTCCGCTTCCAAGTTACCAGCTAGCATTCTAATAAAGGTAGTTTTTCCGGTTCCATTCTCGCCGAGCAGCACCAAAATTTCCGAATCGGAAAACTGACCCTTCTGCACCTCCAACTTGAAGGATCCCATTGTTTTACTCATAACCGGATATTCGTAATGAGTCATACGTTTCACTTCTTCCTCGGTTGCGGAATCCGACACCTTGAACACCAAGGATTCGTCGCGGAACCGCAAATTTTCGGTCGGCACAAATCCGTCCAAGAAAATGTTAATACCTTCTCGTACAGAAAAGGGCATAGTAACTACTCCGTACGCTCCAGGCACTCCGTAAAGACAACAAATAAAATCCGACAAGTAATCCAAGACGCTCAAGTCGTGCTCGACGACAATTATAAATCTAGATTAACTCAATCAAATCACCAGAAAAACAATTAATTAATTTACTTATCGGGATGGAGCAAAGACCGGATGGTTTGCGCAGCGTTTAATCTCTGTTTAACATCTAGATACGATGAGGGCTCGTCAAACATAAAAATGTCTCCATTTTGAATGCAGACCATTGCGCAGGCGAAACGTTGCAGCTCACCGCCCGATAAATTGATAATGTCCCGATCTCTTATCCCATTCAAGTCTACAATTAAAGTTGTTAAACAAACCGCAAATGCTCGATCGACGATGTACCAAGCATTGTACAAATCTCCTCTTGATTATCCATTTCGGACTTTTTATCTAACAACTGCCCAACGGTTCCCTTAACTGCCCTAGGAATCTGATCTACGTACTGAGGTTTAATTAGAGCCTTCAGGTCGTCTTCCAATATTTTAGTGAAGTAGTTTTGCAATTCTGAACCGCGAAAATGGGCTAAAATCTCCGTCCAATCTGGCGGATCCTTAAATAAATCTTAGTAAATTATAATAAACGACTTAACTTACAGAGAAACGGCCCAAATTCGGCTTCTGTTTGCCCGCCAGTATTTTTAAAGCGGTCGATTTTCCAATACCATTCGTTCCTACCAACCCCAGTACTTCGCCCGGTCGAGGGATGGGTAACCGATGCAGTTTAAAAGAATTCTTGCCATAACGATGAGTTGTGTCTCGCTCCAAATTGCTGGGGAGGTTGATAATTGTTATAGCTTCAAAGGGGCATTTCTACAACAGTTTAATTGTAACAGGGCGCAGCGAAAGTAAGTACAACCTTGACACAAATACCACAACCAATGCACAGCTCTTCCGAAATTGCCGCGATCTTACTGTTTGGGGCCACTTCAATGCATAGCTTTCCCATTCGCACGACCGGACATGACTTCTTGCATTCTTGTCGGCAACGCTTCGGCTTACATTTATCAGAATTGACTATGGCAATTCTAGTAAGCTTGTCAGTCTCTTCTACGTTCTTTTTACGAGACATTTTGCTAGAAAAACGTTTACATCAGTCTTAACCTCTTAACCTAAAAGTAGCATACTGCGACCATTAATCATTACATAAAACGATACATTTCGCAATTGGTATCGATATAAAAATAGGGCAAGTTGTATAGGCCTTTTAAATACATTTTTACGTACCTTTATGTGATTATTTCACATAAAAATAATAAATAAACCGTCTCATATGTGGAAGTCCATGAGGGTAAAGAGAACGACGCGAATTTAGCAATTTTTGGAGCACTCTGTTGAAGATTGTAGTAGAACTAATGGCGTGTTTACACAGAATAGGTTGATTCATACAGGAGGAGTCGTAATCTGTCCGTTTCCGTTTTTAAATACGATACATAAGTGCTGATTTATTTGTAGAAAAGAACAACTTAATGCTTTTAAATAGATCACATCAAAAAGCATTGGAAGCTTCAATCACATCTTAGGTAATTTAAAAATGAGTTTAAAAGATGAGGAAAGTATCTACTAAGTGTTTCTATCACTTAAGATTCCCGGGTCTAAAAAAGAGGTCGAGAGGGCTTTTAAAACGGGCTGGAAATCTATGAAATGAGCGCGTCTATCTGTGTAAAGGAAATTAAAATAAGGATCTGTAATAAAGTATTAAAAAAAACTCTAGAGATTTTTTAAATAATACTTCTGTGTAGCTCAACAGATAAATTACACCAATTACAACCGTTACATTTGGGCTATTTGTCTACTCTCAGGTTCATACTTACGCCATGACAATCGCTCTGTAGTCTTTATGCACATAATCAACGAGCCCACTTACTCGTGTGCACCCGTACCGCCCCCCTGGAATCCTCCAGCACCCGCCACCGTTGGGAATGTATGCAGTGAGTGTATCTGATTACTTGAGTACAAAATAGTGTATATGTCGTAGGCATTTTGTAAAATCAGTCATTTTATAATACGCCTAGGCAGTTTATAAAACGCGGGCAGTGTACTTTCTAGAGGTAAGCGATTGGTTCCCTTCCTCTTCAAGAGCGATCCCTTACGCATCTAGAAGGGGAAGGAAAACTACCCCAACCCCACAGGTCAGCATTTCACGAAATGACTCCGCAATTTAGAAATGACGGATTTTACAAAATGCCTACGACATAAAACTGCCTAGGCGTATTATAAAATGACTGATTTTACAATATGCCTACGACATATATACCACAGGACTAAAAGTGCCTCGTCTTAATCCCCCGGGCGCTTTCGGGCAACAATCTGCACCCTCGGGACATTGAATAAGTGCTTATTCAATGCTCGAGTTTAAAACACACAGTTTAGTCCCTTGGTACATAATTACCCCTACCTACTATTTTCCACATTCATATTCATTATTTAAATTAAAATAAGCCTGACGTTTGCGAAATGTGTAATATCTATTACGATTTTCTTACAATAATAATAATTTTCATAGCAACCGAAGCCATAGAAACCGATCAAACCTCCGTTTTGCTAATGAATACTAGAGGGCAAAGCATTAATGATTGTTGAAAAAGCATTTTAAACTTTAAACGTGCGAATGGGGTCATCCCGCCTTCATTTTTTATTTCTGATCCACAAAGTACATTAAAAATAAAAAGACCCGTGTGTCCTCAATTTTTATTTGCGAGTAAAATAAACCCAAAATAAATTATTGAAAAGCTGTGTTTTTAGTTCGAATTTGAAACGCTTCAGACTAAATACGTCATAAACCTACAACCAATCACGTAGAAGTGAGCTGGCAACCTTACGCGAGGGTCTGACGTTTGTCACATTTGACGTTTTGAGAGGGATGTTTAACTGCATCTAGCACGAAAGTGACAAGTGCCTGTGACAGATGACGCAAGTTATAAATGCCATTCAAGTCGTTATGTCATTTGAATGGTTCTAGGAGCTGATTGGTCGGGCTTATTACGTCACAGAGCCCGCCACAATCATATCGTTTTGAATAAACCTTTAAAACCGCACATGTTCATTATTATTTTGCTAATCAGCCTCAATTTTTAAATAAACTTTTACTGTCCAAAAAAATGTTTTATGGTTTCAGGTACACGCTTATTAAATTAGAACTGCGGAATTCAACTATACTGTAAACCCCCATTGGCGCCAAATTGGGCGGGCGAAAGTGTTATACAAATACGAGAAATAAGTAGATAGCTCTGATGTAGGTACTCATTGAATATATGTACTAATGTACCTACAGTTCAATGTATTTATTACGTGTACCTACGTTGCATTTGCACTTGCAATTGCATTATGACTTCTTTCTAATTTACACAGGTATTCACGTTGTTTTGTGACCCAGTTTCCTATCTACAATCGGGTACACGCTCGATATAGATTACTTACATCCTTTGTAAAACGAAGAAAAATAAAAGCGATGTGTAAATAGTTGATAATGGGCAAGCGATATCATTTTATGAACAAATTTGCGTATGACTCTGGCGTCACCTTGAATAAAACTTTTAAAATTCAAAGGGGCGTGCGCGGTAAAATTCTGGTTTTAACATTTGCCCACCACGTTCGATTCGACCGCGTTTGCTGCGTGTCGAAGTTTGAAGTTCTTTCTGCTGCTTTACTTTCGTGCTGGTTGCCGAAGCTTGCCGCAAATAAGTTTTGTACTACTTCGTGCTGGGTGTGACCGGTTTTCTATTTTACCTCTAAAAAGTGCCAGTACGCTTTGCCTTTGCGACTTTTTTCAACGAATTACAAAAAGGTATAAAAAATGCATTAAGTTTTTACTAACACACCGCCACAATTTTTTGCGTAATCTAATTTAGAGGATTAGAAGGGTGTGGGGCTTTATCGATCGTTCTCCAAGGGTAGCCGGAGAAGGGAAAAACCCCGCGCGCCGTTAAATCAATTTTTTTCAGTTATCCCTCTCAACTCATTTTACTGCACTATTGGTTGCATATCGTCAATAATTAAAAATAGGAAAAAATGTCATATTTAAAAATAAATTATTTCTAAAAATAAACTTGGTTTACTGTTGTTGAGGAACGCCTTTAATCAATAGTAAAGATATTGATGCGAAAGTGCAGTAGGTACATTTGGTTTATTAGTCATTGGCCGAATACATCAGTTACTAGTTTAGTAGGATGATCTCATAAACATAGTTTTAGGATTTCTCATGGTTTCTTCCCCTCTCTGATTACTCAATACCTGTAGTGCAGATAGTTAAAATTCTTTAGCTTTGCCATGATTCACTTGTTAACAGATATTTCTTCTTTCAGCCTGAACTAGTAAGATGTCTACTACAGCCCAGTATTACCCATTCAAAGTAAGTATATTATTTATCAATTAACTATCAATCAGCTCCTATTAAGGAGTACGATTTGAAGTTATTATCAATTGTGGTCAGGGATTTAATTGCCGGTGGTGTGAGGTTTGCTTACGGGTTATTGCGTCCTTAATTTTTGATAAGAGCAAGACCTGGGAGGTGTTTATTAATGCATGACCTGTGCCAATAAACCATGTCATTCACATGTGACCTTCACTTGCTTTATTTTATATAGTCACGATTTTCACATTTTGCTCACATTATTCAGAAGTACCTGAGGTCTTCATTATTATAACAATTGAACTTCAATTATTCAATTTTCCTACTTAATGTGGGTTGCTAGCGCCAATTGTAATTGTGTTTTATCAGTCCTGATATGTTTGATGAGTTAATTTTTTTAGCAGGAGCATTTGTTTGAGGTACCTGTGATTGATATTAGCTTTTGGCCTTGATTTTGTACCATTCTAAATAAAACAATAAGATTTACTTGTATTCAATGCCTAATTGTTGCATAATTTAAATGTATATTAACTTGTGACTACTATTATAGGCGTGCTGAACAAAGTGTCTATATTAGCTTTACGTGTGATAAAATTAAACAATGTGGTATTAACTACCTTGAATTTTTATTTTTATTAAATTAACAAACACTAAAAGTGTCAATTACTTTGGATACAACTTACTCACTATCACCTGGCAAATTCACTAGCTTGCTAGACTCGCCCAACGTAATAATTTATACTATTAGCAAGTAACTGCTTTGCTAGCGGATATCTTATAGCTAGTACGAAATCAACGTAAACTCCTCAGTTTTTGAGAGGAGTTTCACTGCTAAAGTAGACTTTTTATCAAGACTCTCCAAAAATTCAATGGATATTGACATTTCTACATCAGAGCATTTAGAATTTTAGTCACACATACATTTATGGTATGCTATATGTTTTGGGAAACAGGGTGTGGGAACAGGGTGCTATCACAAAGGGAAAAGAGAAGGTCTGCACGTGACACATCCGCACGGTAGGGTCAAAACGACGAGCAACTTTTACAATCTGATTTTAGTAAATCATTACTGATGTTGACTTGCACCAAAACTCACTCAAATTCGTCAACTTTTTTTACCTTCACGCAAAGATCATGTATCACGTCAGTGGCGTACGAAAATCTATGCTAATATTTCTCTTTACAAAATGGTGGGGTTGGGTGGGGAGTAGGGGGTGTTGTTTCATTGTCGTATGAGCGTACTTATTCACCTGCAATCACAGGATTGTTGCAATCAGTTCATAGAGGCTGATTTATTTACAATTAATTATTAATGAATGTTTAATAGCCTTATACACGAATTTACAAATGCCAATTTATTACATACGAGCGCGAACTTCATTAACAATCACTTTGGCAACGATGTTGGAACTCGCCTAAACACGATTCTATTTGCTTATACAGCAAACGGAAAGTTTCTAAAAAAATCACCGAACGTTCTTGAGAATTCATGTAGATCGCATTTCCTGGAAAGAACTCGTCACATCCGCAATCTCGATACCTAGGCTTGATGGCGCTTCGCTGGTGGCGACCTGATGTCTTTCTGGATTTCTAGAATATTCCCTGCAATGTACCTTCTTCAGAATGCAATGCTCATTGTGCCAAAACTTGTTCCGTTGTACCCAACCGTTTTCAGAATATCCTGAATGTCTGGTTCCGAAAAATCACGGCCAACTTTACGCGAGCACCAAAAAGGCTATACTATCACGATCATTATATAGTTCGATATTAAATCATGAAGGAAGAGCCAATAGAAACAATAGGCATGGTTTCGTTGTATGTCATTTTGCTACCTACAGTCGTTTGCACCAAATATGATGTTTTCGTCAGTAGTTTGTGAACCAATATCCAAATTGTTACTATCTTTTTTGGGCTCATGAGTTAAAATGCGATGGATTTCGACCCGCGTGGCGCGATTGAGTTTCAAGCTCGACTACGGTACTAAGGGTGCCTGGTTCGAATCCGGTTTCGAGCATGGATATTTGTATGGCGGAAAGTCCGGCCACTAAAAAAAATAGTTTCAAAATAAATTGTTTTAAAGGAAGACAGCGAGCGACAAACATATAGACTGACGGACAGAAAGTCCAAATGACCAAAATTGAAACGGTTAGTCCCTTGATCATTGTCCAGCTATTAGTGAAAACAGAATTGGAAAGTTCGAAACCGTTCGCCAATTATTAACTAGCGACAAAAAGCGAGTTTCTGTCTGTCCGTCCGTCTGTGGACATGATAACTTGCGAACGGTTTCAAATTTTTCAATTCTGTTTTCAGTAATAGAGGAGGATATAGTCTTTGGTAATAGGTAGCCAATGGCCAAGAGATTAACTGATTAAATTTTGGTCACTACTCGTCAACGATAGTCACCTTGTCGCTCGTTGTCTATATTGTTGCAGTTTATTATGTACACAGACGGACGGACAGAAAATCCAAATGACCAAAATTTAATCAGTTAGTCCCTTTTGGGCCATTGTCTACCTACTACTGAAAACAGAATTGGAAAATTCGAAATCGTTCATGAGTTATCATGTACACAGACGGACGGACGGGCAGAAAATCGAAAATCATAAACTCGCTTTTTGCCGCTAGTTAATAAACATGTAACAAATATAGCAAACGAGCTCCTGGATCACTGAAAATTTATTGGAAACAGAAATAAAAAATTCGAAACCGTTCGCGGGTTATCCATGTACACAGCCGGACGGACGGACAGAAAGTCTAAAATCATGAACACGCTTTAGGAGCTCCTTAATAAGTTTTAAATTCCTTATTAATGGTACCTAAATGTTTTTACAAAATCAAAATTTTCAAATTTGTCCTAGTGCACTCCCACCGTCTACCCGGCGGATCCCTTCGATCCCGTGGCCGACGCGGCAACTTTACGCAAGGCGATGAAGGGATTCGGTACCGACGAGAAATCCATCATCGACGTGTTAGCTCGTCGCGGTATCGTCCAACGTTTGGAGATCGCCGAAACGTTTAAGACGTCCTACGGAAAAGACCTAATTTCCGAATTGAAAAGTGAACTGGGCGGAAAATTCGAAGACGTTATTATCGCTCTTATGACACCTCTTCCACAATTTTACGCCAAGGAACTTCACGACGCCGTCGCCGGGCTCGGTACCGACGAAGAGGCCATCATCGAAATTCTATGCACCCTTTCTAATTACGGAATTCGTACTATCGCACAATTTTATGAACAAAGTGAGTATAATAATAATGCGCGCTCGTGATTGAGACTGATCGTGTTTTTTAACAGTGTACAATACCACCCTCGAGAAAGATCTGAAGGATGACACTTCTGGCCACTTTAAACGTTTACTTGTCTCATTAGTGCAGGTGGGTAACGTTGGTGCATCTACTGTACTTGTTACCAATTACGTTTGTAGGGCAACCGTGATGAAAACCAGGGAGTGAACGAAGCACAAGCAGTCGCCGACGCCGATCACCTATTCAAAGCCGGCGAGGCCAAGTGGGGTACCGACGAATCCGAATTCAACGTGATCTTAGTCACGAGAAGCTACCAACAACTTCGCCAGGTGTTCGCCGAGTACGAACGACTCTCCGGTAAGGACATTGAGGAGGCCATCAAGAAGGAATTCTCAGGATACGTGCAGAAGGGATTACTAGGAATCGGTACGTTGAGCGATGATGCGCGCCCGATTTTATTTCTTACCTCCGAATTTTAGTCAAGTGCGTCAAGAGCAAAGTCGGGTATTTCGCCGAACGCTTGCACGACGCAATGGCCGGTTTGGGCACCAAGGATAAGACTCTGATTCGCATTATTGTTTCAAGATCCGAAATCGATTTGGCCGATATTAAACAGGCTTTCGTTGATAAATATGGAAAATCTTTGGAGAGTTGGATAACCGTAAGTATTTCGTGGTCAGAGGTGATGGAGTCTTTGCTTTTGTGGTAACTTTTCAGTGCTTTAAATTAAGAAAATTATTTAATTATAGTACTTGTTTTGCTTGCGTACATAAGATGTTTAATCTATAGATGTGACGATTAAGGTTACATAATCTGGTTGAAATTAATAAGATCGTGAATCAAGGTACTAATTATGTTGTGATTCAGGATAATAATTTGACTATTCATAATTTTAATTTGTGTAATGAGTCATCAGTTCCCTGAAATTGAAGTACATCACCACATTCCATAACACACTGTTAGATCTTTCTGAGTTTCTTCATTGATGGAATAGTATTTATTACTTAATTATACCGGGTGATTCATTAGAAGTGAGGACAATTTGAATTTCCCGCAAATCAAAAAAAATATGAAGTTGGTACTAACTGATGATCATTTATTTAATTACAGTGGTGTATCATCATGCTTTCAGTAAATCGTTTACTTATTTATAATCTACAAATACTGCTTCTGTTTTACCACAAATTATAAACTAACACCTAGACACAGTCACGTTTCTTACATATTTTAGTGCATCAACTCTAAAAATTGTTCAAAATGGAAAAAAGTAATAAACCGCAATGGCACACAACAATTAACGGCGACACTGGTTTCTTAAATGACAGTCATGACAGAAAAAAATTACTAACGAAATTCAAACCGTCAATCTAATAATGCAAAAAATACTAAAACCTTACGCGCGAAATTCAAGCGATCATCACTTCTAATGAAGTAGTTAAGTAAAGCTAGGGCGGATCTCGACCACTTGTGCTTCATTTTGCATTAAATAATCTTGGATGGGGCCGAGCATTTGTTAAACTGTAGGAGTATTTTCCTATTTGTAGCGCCTGTCTACCAATTTTGATGTCCTCCATATTTGATTCTAAAATACAAATTGAGCTTGATATCTTTGTATTATAGCAAAAATGTTTTTTTCTACGATCTCCCTGAAAGTGAGGTCATAAAGTATAATTTACAGGCATATGATACAGTTCTCATTACCCATAAGGGTGCTATAGGTATATAATATAGGATTTCCTGATCCCTATACTCATAATGTTGCCCGCGTGAAGTCATATCCCCACTCCAATGTGGACGTCACCAACGGACCTGCCTGTCAGAATTGAATGTTATAATTTGCCAAGTTTTTCCATTATACGTCGTCTAGTATAAAAACGCGCAGGTAGCCGCCCACTGCAAAACTTAGGTATGCTTCCTTATGGGCTAGATAGAGATGAAAATGTAATATAGTCCATCCGTTATTACTATTCCGATATGTAATTAACCCCACTAAATACTTCACGTCGTCGATTTAATATAAATAATTCTCTCAAACAAACTGCAACGCGTTATTGTTGACGTGCAGAATAAGAATGAACAAAGTAAGGTACCGCAACGGTTAAGCGATTCTAGCTCGTATTGCTTACATTAAAGAATGTTTATTGAAGTGAATTTCGCTTGCATGGCATGGCGTCAAGTAGGCGTAAACAACATTGCTGTAAACAAAAACTGGATGCAAGCGAAATTCAGTTCAATTAATATTATTTTACGTAAGCAATACGATCTAGAATCGATTATCCGTTTCAGAACCGTACTTTGTTCATTCTTATTTTGTACGTCAACAATAGCGCGTTGCAGTTTGTTTGAGAGAATTATTTATATTAAATCGACGCCATGTGAAATAAAAAAAAGTGAACGCTGCATTTAGTGGGGTTAATTACATATCGGAACAGTAATAACAAATGAACTAGGTACCTATAGCATAATTTGTGCACGTTATTTGTTCCATGTAGCCATTCCAACCTGGAAGATTTACTTTAATGTTCACTCTTCCATCAAAACACCTTCTACCTAATGCCCAGTGTGTTTAAATGTTGTTATTGTTATTCTCTAACTTTGCTCGCATTTGGATTTTAATCCTACCAGCCTATACGACTATTTTGAATTTTGAACATTCATTGAGATGAAAACCATTTTACTGCTAATTTCGTTTTGTCTTCAAGGTTTAATAAGAAACGTACACGTTCATTTGTTTTATTTTTATGTAGGATATTTGGATTAATGTTATTCATCTAATTATGATCCATTTTTGAAAAAAAATTTCTTGAATAAGGGTACTAACATGTTATAATCATCGAAAAGGGAAAAAAATCTATCAAATGATCCTAATGAAAAGGTGCATTGCCATTTAAAAAATTCAATTGTTTTTCGTTACTTGCTCATTTGTTTTCTGAAATAAAAACAACTGAATGCTGGCATTTATGGGAATAATTTCATATATATTCTATATCTCCCGAGATATATACTACATCCATACATAATGGGCACCCTGTATAATATAGAATATAAAATATCTGTCTGATTACTCGCGCAATATGTTCAACTATTGATTAATTAAAAAACCTACGAACGAAATTCTCGCGAACAAACCCTCGCGCTCGCCGGTGAGTGAGTCATTCTTGCATGATCTCCTCCTCTCCCTTCGTCGCGTGACAGTCATTTAAAGTGCTTAAAATGACGACTTTGCATGTATAATTTTGCAAAAATTTCCGGGGTAGGACTCACTCCCCCCGGGGGCATTCCATAACCCCTCCCTCCCCCTCGGAAATCATTGTTAAAAAAGGCGGCCCGCAAAAATATTTCGATCCAGGCCTCGCATTTGCTAAGAACGGCTGTGATTAGAGCATTTCCGCTGCTTCTATCAGTACCAAAAGGCTATGGCTATGTTTTTTTTTTACTAAAAGCATCTATGGTTCAAAGAAATACCTTTATAAATAGACTGCGCATGCCCACATCAAATGTTTACAATACGAGATAACAGAAGCATCTGTGAAAATTTAAAAAAGATATCTCGATAAATAAGACAGTTGATATTGCGCAACCTGCGCATGCGCACATTAATCGCCATGATTTTTCTTGGCTCGGATGTCGGAGCTATAAGCTACCAAACAGAGCTGGGAAGTAATCGATTACAATTGTAATTGATTACAGTATTTAATTACTTTCTGTGTAATCGGTAACTATACTGTATTCATTTTAAGAAGGTAGCGGTAAAAAGCATAGGGAAGCTTTGACCTTCACTGTGATTGGTTAAAACACGAGTAAGTATTACAATGAAACATAAAACGACTGGTGAATTTTGCAAGTTGGTTGGTAGTTTATGTTGCCAACTAAACTGCCGAAGTGTCATTAGTTGTTATTGTGAAAGATTTATTTCTGTTCGCAGTACTGAATATTTCTATTTTACAATAATTTGGTGCCGTTTTATATTTTTCCTGTGTGTGTGTTTATCTTCCAACACAGCGCCATCTACTACCTTCTTATAATGAATGCAGTATAAATACTTTTAAAGTACTGTAATCAGTATTGTAATTTAATTACTTTTCTCAGTAGTAATCGTAATTAGTAATCATATTGTAATCATAAGTACAAAAGTAATCATGGTTACTAACGTAATCACGAATACTAAGGTAACCATGATTACAATAGAGTAATTTAGTTATCTACCTCTATGTCTGTTGTACTTATTTGTTTTGATTCTATTAGTTGATGAAGTACTGTGTAATTTCGCCTATTTTTAACATGCTTATTTAGTAAAAATTAGGTGTAACATATGCATAAATTCCAATTTCTACATCCAATCCAAGTGCATCGGTTACTATAGATCTTTAACTTACTTTGGAATATCTGACTTTATCGAAATATCTTTAAAATATCAATGAACGTTAAAAAATATGGATGCGTGTAAGATGTACCTACATAAGTTTAAAAATAAAAGTAATTGTAATTACAATGCTAAAGTAATCGATTACAATTGTAATCAGTAATCGAATACAAATTTTCTGAATTACTGTAATTAAATACTTTTATGACAAAGTAATTGTAATCAGTATTCGATTACTTTGTTTGAGTAATCATCCCAGCTCTGCTACCAAATTAAAAAAAAACGAACTAAATATTTTGAAAACTGTAGTAGTTACGGCCTCAGACGGACAGACATAGTGGCTGCAATAGCTCACCCAAATTCGTTGGAAAATGCGCAAAAAATTGGTTCGAAATTTGCATGATTTGGAATAATTCACAAAATTAATTTGGCAAACATTCATAACTTGTGTAAATAAATAAGTCGAGTGGAATTGTCTGTGGTAATTGACTATCAGGTGCTCTAATGTCAATATTTGACCATCCTCCACAAAATAGCGCCAGGTGTCTACAGAATCTCTTGTCATGATAAAGAAGATTATCATTCTAATACGTTAATTAGGCAATCATATGAGGCCATACTTGAAACATTATCATTACAACAACATAATATACAAATATTTGTCGTTTTATCACTTTTTTTTAATACAGAAACTTATGTACGCATGCTAAAACTGTTATTGCTTGAGCCTTAACAACTTTTCGCATTTCAGGGCGATACTTCGGGAGATTACAAGAGGGTGCTTCTGGCTATTGTCGATTAAACTACATAGTACCTACCTCCTTTACTGCACCATTAATAATTGTATATTGCACTGATATATTATAGCTTCGTCATACTGCCATTTTTTAATTACACGTCCAAATTTGTAATTTTTGTATTACAGGATGATGTGACTAAGCAAATTAGGTATGCGTTGGTCAGTTTGACGGCATACGGTTAAGTATAATTTTTAAGACACAGTCAAATTACTACAAACGTCATAGATTGTTAAACTGTATTTTTTTAACGTTTAGCTTAGTGGCCTTGCTGATAATCTCAGAGCTTTATGAATAAACAGTAATGTACGCGGAGTAATTTTTGTACGATGTATGTGTTTTTTGTGGATTATTATAGGTTTTTTTTGTTGTGCCAGGTGCAATTTTTGTATCTGTTTTCTTAAGAATATATGAAATGTTAATTATAGTAATTTGTTTTATACGCATCTTTGATAAATTCTGTGTGTGCTTTGGTGCTAAATACAAAATGTATATTTCAATTGCTTTATTTTGCTCCTTATAAATAAAATACTTTCATTTAATAATAAATAGATTCTACGCTAAGGCAAATAAATACAAGGATATAATACAAAGAATCGCCTTCTACGTTTTATTGTCGAGGGTTTTCATAACTTGAAAGTATCGCGTGGTACGTTTACGTCCCATGTTACATATCTTGAAATGGCACAGTGTGAGATCTGCAACAGGTGCTTCATTATTTCCACATAAAACTACTGGTGAATAATTTAACACTTACAACTGGAATATCGTTTATTTTTCTCTCTTGTTTGGACGTGCACAATTGACGTCTGCTCAACCCTTTGCGTCTCGGCTGGACTGATTAAGTTTGCATTCTCGTTTTCGATGAGTTGATTCAAGAGGGAATTCGGAGGCGGATTTACGTCGTCCTTATCGTCCTGAAACCGAATCGTCATGTAAATTTGACTATCTCTGAGTAATAACACGCTCATTTAGAACAGATAAGAATGAGATCATTCTTATTAACATTGAGTAATAAATCAAATTCACTGGTAATAAATGTGTTTGTCACAGATGCATAAATGAAAAATTAATTGGCTGCTGTTTATGTTAAATGATTATGATGCTGTCCACGATTATTGATTAAATAAAGTTGTGCGTGCGTGTTTTGCATCGCGTCCGAAACAATTGGAAATCATTGCAAAAATTAGGTCTAGCCATAAAAACGCCAAGGAAACATGGTCCTTTGGCACTGTTGTTCCTCCAAAAAAAACCTGCTTGCAGTAATCAAAACAATAGTGCTCACAGGACCAAAGGCGACTTCGGCATAAATTTTATCATCCCTACTTTTAAGTTTGAAATTAATCAGATTTTGATTATGACCCTACACAGCGAATTTTTGCGGGGCGAGTGGGGTTATCAGGATTGTCCCAATCAAAACTTCAATGTGCTGAGCCAACCAGATTGTCATAACATGCGATTAATTTGATAATATATTAACTTGTTGGTGTATTTTTAAACCCACTGATGAGAACAAAATTGATGACGCTTATCCATTATAGCCATTACTCATCAATATATGCACTTGTTTTTCAAAAAATCATGACAAAATAGATGTAATAATTTTGAATCTCTTGGGTGCGAATGCAAAACACTACTGTGAACTGTTTACTGTATATCTGGAAGTTTTTTGTATTTTGCACCCTGGTAGGCGAAATTCAAAAACATCATGAATATTACAAATTTGAAAATCAGGCACTTTCAGGAAAATTTAGAAATATATACTGCATCTTTGCATTATAAGTTCCCTTTTTTTGCCATCTCTTACTTTATTGCTTCATTGCCGAAACGCATTTACTGTCACTTGCTTCATATGCGAAGCATAATTCACATCAAACGCGATTTCGCCCCGCTTTTTATACACAAAATAATGAGATACGTTATTTACAGTTGCGTAATTAGCAGTTTTCACGCTTGTTTTATTATCACCTAAAGGTTACGATTGCGATTTGCGGAGATTCTTTTGCTGTTTAGTTACGGCTTGCCTCTGAGCTTGTCCAAAAGCGCGGTTTCTTTAGGTACAAAAATCCACAGCGCTTTTCGATTGAAAAATAGGAGCGCGTTCTAAAATCCTTCCTGAACCAGAAGGGCGACGCTGTAATGGCATATCCGAAATATCTCCAAATCGCGTCGAGCAAGATGGCGGTTGACTTATATGTATTTTTGATTAAAATAAAATCGCGCGGCATCGCCAATTGTTGGAAATAAGTGCGCCAAAATGTTCAAGTGAAGATATGAAATAAATATAAGGTACTTACATCTGATACAGACAGGTAAGAGTCGTAAACTTCATCCACACTATTGCTGAGATTGTCCGAATAAAGAAATTGTCCCGGTGGATACGCATGGGTAACCGTAACAATAAAAATGAGGAGAGTTATTATTTTCATTTCAATACTGCCGCGAAATTGTTAATAATAATATAAAAGTAGTAATAATATTAAATAATCCAAGGTTACCACTTCCACTGTACTTCGGAAACTGACTGAAGGAAAGTTAAGTTCTTAATTCGTATCGCAGTAATCTTTCAAAAGAACGGTACCATAATGAGCTCAGCGGAAAATTTTAAATTATTCAAACAGGTATTGATAGATTGACGCTTATATAAACATTACGCTTAATTTTCATTGTAAATCACTACCTACAGATCAATCACCAAGCGCAGTTCGAGGATATGCAGCGAAAGCATTACCTACCGATAGTATATTAATTTTATCCAATATCCTGGATTATATATGAATCCCCACCGTACAGGTGTGAAAACATTCCCTATACCCCTCGCGAAGAATCGCGCTAAGTGCTTTCGCACATTTCCCTATTTAATCGTCACACGTGACTGTCCATTGTTTCAAATCTCAAAGGTAATGGGGCATTTATAGACTGTTTGTCGCCAATTTTACTTGGAACTAGTTTAAATTACCGCCAGCAGAGGGAGGGTGGCGGGAGGGACCGATTTATGCCTTTTTTTATAATCCAGTGTGGCAATTCGGTATAATTCCATAAGTCTACAAAGATAAGGGGTCAAGTTCAGAAACGACCATAAGTCGTAATATAATCCGACTTTTCGCAGGCCAATGGGTAGGTATGTTTTACATATATGAGGTAATGCTTTCCTGTCGGACAAGGTTGGACAATTCAAATTTGATTTATACATTCAGAAAGGTACACGGGGGGCTCCCACGGGGCATTTCACTACGCCACTGTTTTGTGGCTTTAGAAAAGGATGCATCGTGCAGATTTTTCGGCTCAATATGCGCCCCTGATGCCCATTGTCCATAAGATAATAGCTCATTAATTAACTTATGAATTAATGAAATCTCTTGCGGAAATTGATAACGTGTATCGTAGTTGTGGAATGTTTTAATTTATTATCTCATAAAATAAAAGAGGATAATGATGAGTAACCGTGAAGGAGTTGACTGCACCGATTATTTATGTTTGTTAATTCCCAGGGTTCTGTTGGTTGACCCCGTCTCCAAAGCAACCTTCGAGTTGTTGCGACGAAAAATGTCAAGGGCTATGGTAAACTTTTGACTCCCTCTTCCGAAACGATTAAAGGTTGGGAGAGTTAATAGCATATCATCAAGCAGGATTCTTCCGCATCATAAAGTTGTTAGGCATCAACCCCCAACGGTTTCTGACCATTTTTAATTGTTTTTCAAAATAAATTTGGAGCACAAGTAATGAAGTCGTTAACCTTTATTGTAATGTAATAGTTTATGCAATTTGCTGTGTATTTTGTCTTTTTTCGTTTTTTCCACATTGTCAAAAAGTAATTCCATGAAATTGCACCATAGGACATTTTTGCGACGCTGGTATTACGCGAGTTTCAGACTGGGTTCTGTTGTCCGACACTGGTGAAGTTATGCACATAACCTGGCTTGATCCCTCGACGAAGAATTAAATTACATAGATCTCTTGAAAGGGTTCTCATATTTTCAGTAGATAATCTCGCTGCAGTGCCTGAACGCTCCAACCCTCTATCTTTCTGCAGATGTAGGTACCCTTTTCGGCAATCGAATCATTCGCACGAGGGATCTTGGGTATAAAGACTTAATTCCCTGCACCACCACATCCATTAATTAATTCTGTAGCAAAAATAAACCCGCGTGCAAAGATAGAGATCTTCCATGCTGTTATATTTATCTTCAAGTGTAGGTGTAATGTAGCAGCTATTGCGAGGTCCCGATTTGTTTAGGTATGGACAACATCTAGGGGGAAACAACTTTGAATTTGTGGTGTACACCCCTCTGAATTAATTTGAATTAACGTGAATTCATTCATTTGAATTAACGTGAATTAATTTGAATTTGAATGTTTGATGTACACCAAAAATGGTACTTGTTCCCCTTAAGAAAAACTCGTTTCTCGTTTCGTTGCTGAAAAAATTGCCCCTGTAAATCACCAGACAGTTTGCTTCGGAAAATTTGGTTGCGCTTTAAAAATCGCCCTTGAAATACTTCATCCCTAAAGACTTGTTCCCGGAAAAGTTTCTCACTGGAGATATTCGCTATAGAAAAATTCTCATCCTGAAAATGTAGCATCGAAAAATCGCTCTTAGAATATTTGACATTAAAAACCCAGTTAAAAACACGTCTCGACCTAGGAAAATTCGCTATCGAAAAATTCTTGTCCTGAAAATTTAAACACAAAAAAATCGTTCTTGGAAAACTTTTCCCTAGAATACTTGCGTGAAAAATTTGCCCCCAGAAAATTTAGTCTCGAAAAAATCTCCGCTGAAATATTTGACCCAGAAACATTCCGTCTTGATAAAATTTGACCTGCAAAATTCGTTTCTCAAAAATACGCCGATTCCTGTAAAAAAATCTCCTGAAAAGTCGCTAGGAAAAATCGCTCTCATAAAAAATTCGCTATGAAAAAATCCCCTTTTTAAAATGCTTCCCTGTAAGATTCAACCCTTAAATTCATACAGGGAATATTCACCTACCGAATGAAGTAGTTATTGGAATATTTGACTTCCAAAAACTCAATGGAAAATTGTTCTGGGAAAATTCGCTATGAAAATATTCGCTTCCGAAAAATTTACCTACGGGAAATGTAGGCTCCAAAATTTGCTCTTGAAACATTCGTCCAGCAAAGGAAATTCATCTACAGAAGATGTTGAAAAAATCATCTTTCGAATATTTGGTCCCCAAAAAATCGGTCAGGGAAAATCTGTCTTGGAAAATTTGCATTGGAAGTTTATGCCCTGAAATACCCGCGTAAAATATTGGAAAACTTGTCTCCAGAAACGTAAAAAAATCGCCCTTGAAATGGAAAAGTTCTCGTCCTGAAAACTTAAGATTAATAAAATCGCTCTTGGAAAATTTTCCCTGGTATAATTGTATAAAAAATTTGTCCCCAGAAAAATCTGCCGTTGGAATATTTTACTCGTAAACTCTAGTCCTGGTAAAAATTTGCCTTGGAAAAATTCTAGATGGAAACAACTTTGAATGTTTGGTGTACAACCCCTCTGAATTAATTAGAATTAACGACAATTAATGAGAATTAACGTGATTCAATTTGAATTACCGTATATTAATTGGAATTAACATGAATTAAATTGGAATAACGTGAATAAATTTGAATTAACGTAATAATTAGGTTGAATTAACGTGAATTAATTTGAATTTACGTGAATTAACTTGAATTAACATGAATTTACGTGAATTATTTTGAATTAACGTGAATTAATTTGAATTTGAATTTTTGGTGTACACCAAAAATGGTCTTGTTTCCCCCTAGGACAACATATTCATCTTCCTTTGGCATGGAGAAGTACGTACTTTTTTTACCACTCGCACGTTAGTAAGGGACCTATTGCAATGGGGTAAAAAAATGCCCCCCCCCCACTTTTTTTTTACGGAAATATACGTTTTGAAGCGCCAGGAATCTGTATCAAACAAAATATTAATGATGTCGGTCTGTCTGTCGGTCCGTCTGTACACTCATTTCCTGCTAAACCGCTGAACCGATTGGAACCAAATTTGGTACACATATTCTGAGACATAAAAGCGCAGAAGGAAGGTATGTGGGTGGTATCTGTGCCGGCCACAGTAAATTTGTTTATAACTGTAGGTAAATGTTGCATTATATGGCAGTTGTGTGTTGCTTGTAGATGACTTAAGCATAATCTGTCAAACAAACACAAATTTGGGATGTACAGCAGAAGTTACAACCCCCGCAATTGAATATTGCTAGATACGTAAGCAGAGCCAGGGATCCTAAGGATGCTATGGTAAGAGGAACTTCTTTAAAGTCACGGAACTACAAAGCGCGAGGGGATTTTAATTTTATGTGGCAATTATTAGGGGTTGCTTGTAGATGAGTTAATCTGTTACAGAAATAAAAAATTTTAAAGTATAACCATTGAATTTATAACTATAAATTCAATGGTTATTTATAATAAAAAATATATATTCAATGGCCCTGCTGCTGCTGCGTATAACGAAAGTACAACCCCCCCCCCCCCAACGAATACTGCTATGTAGGTAAGTTGCGCACTTTCTCCGAAAACAACGGATTTTCACAGCAAGAGGGGATTTATTTTATATGGTAATTAAGGGTTGTTTGTAGGTGAGTTAAGCGTCATCTGTTACAGAAATAGATATACTTATCAACTGCATATTATGTCCTTAACTTAATAAATAAAATTGTCAGTTCAAACCCCGTACTGACGTCACTGGTAAAAATTTAAAAACATCTATACGTAAAAAAATGCTCCTAGGAAAATGTGTGTACAAAATTTTATAAAAATATCTAAGAGTGATAAAAAATCATGATAAAAAACTTACTTTTTTCTTAAAATATTAACACCCTGTAGCTCAAAAACTAAGAGGTTTAGGACAATTTTAATATAAACTTTTCTCCTTAAAATTACCCGAGGATTCACACCCTGTATTATCGGCAATCATTTAATTAACACCCTGTATAATGAAAGTTACAATCCCGCAATTGAATATTGTGGTTAAAAAGCGACATATTTCAAGTCTTGCCTAGGCTTGACTATAGTGGATCCCCCCCCCCCCCCTTACTAGCCCGTTTATGCGTTTATGGTCTCCAATCTTACTTACACGGCGGAAACGAAATATCTGCTGCTGGAAAGGCCGGGCACGGAAGGTAATGCATCGATGGAGGTGCCGGCTTTGAGATCGGCTCTCCAAGAGACCTATTGCTATTTGCTGGGGATTAGATGACATCGAGTAAGAGAGTCCTCTCTGGAAAATTGGCGGATTGATCTGACTTGGGGATCATAAGATAAGATTCTAAACGTTGGTATGGACTGTTATCTATTGCGATTAAATCGATTCTCAATAACTAATTTGCAACCATGAGCTCGCCCTTCACTCGTGCGGGCCTTTGAAGTGTACGCGAAAATTTGTTTTTTACTGGCAGAGACCATGAAATTATCGCAATGACCATACTGATGCTGATATCCATATTATCGTTAGTCTCTTTGCGATAGAACAGGTACCTTCAATCCTTTATCAGACAATTTGTCTGCACTTCACTTGCTCAATACGCATCATACAGATAAGACGTATTTCACCATATAACTGCTCTGTAAGCAATTAATCATCTTCTCATTTTTTGATTTGTGTAGCGTGTGAAGGGTGAATTTTATCTAGTGCTATCAATGAAATCTGTTAGATCAGAGTTCACAGTACTGCAGTACCTAGAGATACCATGAGGTTTAAATAAAAAACAGTAGTAGAACAATATTGTTCATTGCATCTTACACTCTATGTCTCCAAGTTAGCATGGGTAACTACTATAAGTATCAAGGTGTCATTGAAACGTGGAGTGTTATTTAATAAGTCTCTTTTAGTAAGGTTGAGGAATGCCATTAACTCTGAAGATTTCTCCTCCCCTCCCAAATTCAATCGGCGATATGAATAAATTTAGTTGTCATGGTCACGAGATACGGAGGGGACATAAATCAAAGTTATCAATAAATAAAATATTCCACTGTAAATACTAAGTAGGCTAATTGAGTTTGTGTGCAATAATTGGTGCATTTAAAATTGTGACATTTACTATTGGCCCATATTTGTTGTCGTAATGTTATCATTGGTCGCTGTCTTCACTTTAAAAACAATGTTATCTTTTCATGATAGTGGAGACGAAAAATCGCGCGGTTTTCATTTCGCCTTATGATGTAAATTTCTAAACAAAATAGCGGGAAGTACAACGAACTCTATTTGTGCGTATATAAATATTGCGGCCTGATTTTTGGCCAAAATAAAATTCTGACGATTGATAAAAGGTTTGATCGAGGTGTGTCTTCAATAACCGTTTAAAACTCAATCTGCGTGGATAAAGGGCAAATTGTCGAGATTTTTGAACAAACTATGTCCCAAAAACCTGACGACTGAACCCCGGCCTGGGGCGGTGAATGCGGATCAGCTTATCTTCATCTTCATAATTTAACCTAATCGTCCTAATCGTCAGATCGCTCGCTCGCTCGATTTAAAAGAAAACAGATGGACCGATCACTAGACGTCGCCTAGTATAAAAACAGTTACGGCAATCATTGCAGGTAGCCGTCCACTCCAAAACTGGTCGCGTGCGAGGTGTAAAAAAATTATGATATTATATTCTCATTTCTATATCTAGCCCATGCGAAGAAAAAGACATAAGTTTTGCAGTGGGCGGCTACCTGCGACTGTTTTTATACTAGACGGCGTCTAGTCAGTTGTTTTTCAAAGTCAATAAAAATAAATTGACACTTTCCTTCGCTGATTAGATCTCTTGTTTTAAATACATTTCGAGTTTCCATCGGCCAATGCGTCAAAACTACAGTTTCCATGGAAATTAGCATGAGAGATAGGTTTAAGGGTAACATGAAAAACCAGCACTTAATGTAACAAATTCATGATTTACATCAGTACCCTGCAAAGGAGTGAAAGGGACACATGCAGGTTCAATTTTCCAACACAAATGTTGAAGTTTGATCCAGACTTAATTAAAATTCTCATTCCGTTCCATATGATTAAAAGATCAGAATAAGGGGATAAAGGAAAATTGAGTTTTTTTAACATTCTCAACCAAATATGCAGGTTATCAAAACGCCTTTGAGCATCATTTAAATACAAAATTCAGCAGGAAACTTAAATACAACCATAAAACTGAAAAAGTGACAGTAATCGCAGATGCCCCGAGACCCTGAGGTAAGTCCTGCATTTTGCATATATACCTAATATTTAAACCTACACTTTTCCTAATCCTAATCGATAAATGAAGATTACCAGCAACGCTCAAATTTCATAAAAATACTTAACATTCAATTAAAAAAAGTTGTTAAATTATTTATTTTCATTTCTGTATGGCTGCAGCTTTTTTAGGGTGCGCTTCTAATTGAATGACGTTGTGATGGGAGCGTAATTATAATTTGGTGGCTGCAAAGCCATAAATTATGAAAAGCGCTATATATAGGTAGCATAATTTTCCCCGTTCAACCCTAATAAAGGTTGTGATGGTTGTTGCGTGCGATGCAGCGTGGGAACTGCGCCGGTCTCTGTACAGGTCAATAAAGAAACACCAAATTCCAGTGTGCACGTGACAGCCTCCCTGTGTGGTGCCATGGCTACCGCGAGCGATGTTAAGTGGCGATGAGGGGGCGCGAAGGCTGCGGCGCGAGCACGGTTTCCAACTACCGTTGCACCCGCTGCAGGTCACTGGATGGTTAACACTAATTTCAATATCAGCAGGTGCATTTTTACTGTTAATACCAGCTTTACCGTTGTACCTACAGCCCGCAGCCCTCGCATCTCTTTCCGCGCTATTGTTGCTGCATTTGGTCGCTAATCTGGGAGCGTCTTTGCTCGATCCTGCCGAACCTCTCCTTCGACGTATTTCTCCAATTTCCGTACCAGAATTGGATCGCGCCAAGTACGCTCACGTAATCGAGAACGGAATTTGTCACCTTTGCGGAATTCCGATTACTGGGAAACGTACCAAACATTGTAGCGCGTGCAACAAGTGCGTAACGTCTTTTGATCATCACTGCAAGTGGCTCAACCATTGCATAGGTGGTCGAAATTACGTACCCTTCCTTATGTGCGTCTCGACTGCGGTAGCAGCTGCTGTTCTTGTGGCATTGCTGGCCATTGCAGAGTTAATTGTACATAACATTGATCCGACGTGGCTGTCCAGAACACCATTTAACGAAAGCGGAACGGAATCTTCACCATTACCATCAACAAACGACGCTGCCTTTCTAACCGTGGTCGCGGCTTTAGGTATTCTAGCAGCTATCACCGCCGGATTACTGCTGCACCTTTGCTTTTTTCACATGTATATTTCATTCCTCGGCTTAACCACGTATGAGTATATAAGACAGCAACGACAAGTTTCCACTTCTGCACAGGACTCCACCGAAACATCCAACCATCACTGCTCCTCCACCCGTCATCGCCCAGTCAATCTTCATTGCGATAACCGCTCCGGATCGCAGATAACGGCTGTGTTTACATGTGCTGTGCTCGAACAAACCTGTGCGGAGTGCACCGAACCGATAACACCAACACCACCAACATCAACACCCGAAGACTGCAGAACCTGCGTCGTTACCAACAACGCTATAAGTCCCGACACCAACCAAGTTACTCAGCCGCAACCACCACGTAAAATGAAACGCAGGTGGAACTGCTGCATGTCCGTCCCAGACAGTCCAGAAGACCCCCAGAGCCCATCGGAGCCGAAATGCCTAATGAATTTGTGTAAATACAAGTTGAAAGGTAAAAACTCAGAGACCCGAACACATAGAACTCACGGTCATTGGTCCAGTGCAAAAATACGGGTATTGTTTAGAGTAATAGGAAATTTAGGTCAAAATAGGCGAAGGAACCCACCTGTGACGACACGCAACAATCAAGTGTCCCCATTAAATGCGGAAATGCACCATCAACCCATACAAACAATTACCAATATAATACCGGTGCCGTCCTATCCAAACGAAGCCTCTGGACGAATAACGCTGCCCGCATTACCACCTCCTACCAGACGACGTATCGTGAGCGACACCGAGCTGGCCGACGCTTTGAGCATCCTCCAGCAGCAGCAAAGAATTGGTGGCCGACGCCCTTTACCGCAATACCGCAGGCGAAGACGAAGCACGGCGCAACGTCCAAAAACGCCCACGTTGTCGCCCATCAGAGAAAGTGGCTTATCAAACCCAGCTTCTCCGTCCCGACAGACTTGCACAGTAGCGGCCATTCCCGGCTCGTGTACGCGTCCATTTTAACTATTTTGTTACAACGTGCGCGCTGTATATTTAGTTAGGAATTTTGACCAATTTCCACAATAATTGCGTGGTTACTAAATAAAAGGCGCTGTACCTACTAATATATAAGTAATTTTTCAATAATTTATACAAATAAATTTGATGTTTCTTATTAAAGTTATATTATATAAATGTTGTAATTCAATATATTATCAAATGTTAAATTAAATTTGTTATTTCACATTTTGATTGTTTTTTCTCCAATCGCAAAGAACCAAAATTGATCATTGTCTGCGCGGGCCCATCTTCCTATTTAGAATGCTAAGATCATAGTTTTGCCAGAAAAAAATTTGCTAGTGGCAACACCGCTCTGTAATTGACGGTTATATAGCCACACCAGTGAACATAACCACGAATTCTAAACATAACCTTACTATTTTCTCATTCCAAAATCTTGCAAGTATGAATTTTTGGAAAGAAACCCTAGGTGCCCCCACGAAAATTGTGGCACCCATGGTAGATGCAAGCGAATTGGCCTGGAGATTATTGAGTAGAGGTTATGGAGCCCAACTGTGCTATACACCAATGCTGCACAGTTCGATATTTTGCAAGGATCCCAAATACCGCAAGGAAGCATTGGCATCTTGTGCGGAAGACAAGCCATTAATTGTGCAGGTAATTTGTTAGTCCGCATTCCGGTAATTCATTGAAATTGTTGTAGTTTTGCGGTAATGACGCGAAAACTATGCTAGAAGCGGCTTTGCTTGCAGAGGATTACTGCTGCGCGATCGACATTAACTTGGGGTGCCCTCAGGCTATAGCAAAACGGGGTAATTATGGCGCCTTTCTCGAGGATAAGTGGAATTTGCTTCAAGACATTGGTAAAGGGTACACATTAAAATGATTTGTCTAATTGCACGTTTTGTAGTGAGTACCTTAAGTAAAGGTGTTAAGGTACCAATTACGTGCAAAATACGAATTTTTGCGGATCTGGACAAGACCATAAGGTATGCCAAAATGTTGGAATCGGCCGGGTGTTCAATGCTTACAGTTCATGGCCGTACAAAGGAGCAGAAAGGTCCACTAACCGGCATAGCGGATTGGAGTTACGTTAAAGCCGTTAGGTAAGTTGGCTAACGGGTAAAGTTGAATAATTAAGTGGCTGCCTGCAGAAATGCTATCAAAATACCATTAATTTCAAATGGAAATATCCAGTGTATCCAAGATTTGAACCGTTGCATTGAAGAAACCCAGGTTCAAGGTGTGATGTCGGCGGAAGGTAATTTGTACAACCCCGCTATTTTCCTGGGTGAAAATCCACCTGCGTGGGAACCGGCTTTAAAGTATCTAGATCTCGTTGACATATATCCTTGCCCAACATCTTTCGTTCGAGGGCATCTTTTTAAGCTGTTTCATCATGTGTAAGTTTGCATTTTCAGTATTTTAAATAAAAAACAGAAACACAAACACTAAGGGACCACCCTTGAATTAGAATAAAACAAAAAGATTATTCAAAATCTGTTATAAAGACTACATGACACGGCTATTGGGATATATTAGCACCACTGCATATGTTTAAAGGTATTTCGTTAGTCAAGCAAGTAAATACTAAGTGGTTTCTTGGTATTTTTGTGTCGGCCATGAAAAAGCTCAAATGTTTTAAAATACTTCACTTGTAGATTAGCCATTCCGAATAACAACAATTTACGTATTCAATTAGGAGCTGCCAATACTATGGGCGATTTTAAAAAAATTGTCACTCACTTGAGAGAGATGTACATCTGTTACCACGAGGGCAGGGAAAAGTGGGATCCGATGACCGAGGAGGGAACCGAAAACTTAATCTTACCGCCGTGGCTGTGTCAGTCGTACATGAGATCACCACCAGAGGAGCACTTACAGAAAACTGCCGTCGATAACTGCAACGAACATAAGAGACATTACGAAGACTCCGATGGCAATCCAATATCTAGGAAACGTATGAAAAAATTACGTCGGATAGCGCGGCGACCTGAAAAACCCGAAATGCTCGCGAGTAGGAGTTTAGAAAGGTGCAGTCTATGCGCGAATCCTCTGGTAAACTTTGAATGCGTTTTTACCTTGTTGCAAGTTGCTTTTTCAGGGATCAAAGTGCGAGTACAAATTGTGCAAAAAATGTTGCAAAGACAAGTGCTTCACGGAGAATCTCGACTGTGAGGGGCATCGAATATTGGTGAAAACCAGAAGGGAAATGGCGCAGTACTTTTCGAAAAAAAGAAGCGATACGGATGCTGTGACGTGTGTGTCTTAAGAAATGTGATTGTTTTGTTTTGTATATTTTATTAAAAGTTAAAAAAAATTGTTTCTGCTGTTTAATTGATTTCAAAATTGGTAACTAGATTTGCACAAAGTAGGCTCCGAGGGCTGTATATCAGAATAGTCAGGGAGACATTTCTGAAAAAGGCTCTCTAAATCATGTCTAACGGCGTTTTGTGCTACAAACTGGCAACAGGCGGTTTTAGACTAATTCGCTCCCGCTGAAAACGATGCGCCCTGTTGCCAGACCCGATTTTGACATTTAAGCCCTTAAATTCAAGATGGCGGCCAAAATTTTGGCTTTCGGTTATTTCGAGCCCACAAGGCAGCCACTGAACGTTTTGGGTAGTATAAGGGTAGAATAACATCTAGTTAGTCTCAAGAGGGTAAAATCCGATTGCTGTGACATTCTTACATTTTAAGTTAACTACTAATAGTTTTGCAACATTCTGCCAATAATTCGGGGTTAAGTTGTATTTTTACTTCAAAAAAGTCCTACCTTTGTAACGATGGCGCTGTTAACATATAAGGAGGATTCATGTGGGCACAGCGTTACAAGCATAATTCGGTTTGGAAACCCTCCTTCCAATGAATTTCCGGGAAGTCGGCGGCACAATTTCAAAAATTCATCTCTCAAATGTAGAGAGTTGCCAAATTAGACGCGATACAAAATGATGCGCACTAAAATTTGAATAATAGCACCTCCAACATTTTAAAAATTCTCGTTCTTGTACAGTGTGAATATTTTGTATGGAACACTGGATATATCTTCAGTACAAAAACTTATTCAAAACTACAAAAAGTTTGCGAGCAATTTATGTATTTTAAATTTGTGGTTAGTGGCGTACGGTAAAGGAGAGCACACTTTTTTTAATGGCAAACTATTAGTTTTATTGGCACATTCTTAAAAAGTACACTTTTTGGCATATGGGAACATATACAGTGTGTCCCAGATCGCGTGGGATTGCACTTTGTTACTATTAAAGATAGAGAATTGGTTAAATGTTTTGCAGTTTTGGATGCTTATTTAAAATTTCCTTATGGAAATTCATAATGTCGCATAGGTTCGACGTAAATTAAAAAAAAACTAAATTCACTAATAATGGCCAGTATTTTAAACATCTGGTGTAGTAATTATTTTCATTGTTTTGTTGCCTCGAATAGATTTTGTTTTGTTTTTTTTTATTCGTCACAGACTACTTGATTAAAATACAAAAACCGTTAATATAACTGGTATCTTATTTTCAATCTTATGTTATGATGGCTCATTGAAAAGAGAATTAAGCGTATCAAAGACAGTCACTTTTATATAAAACTTTTTTTTATATCTCTTATACTTTCGATGATATGACATTCAAGGAAATGACCAATTTTAGTTTTTTTGAATTTAGGTCAAACCTATGCGACATTTTGAATTTCCATAAGGAAATTTTAAATAAGCATCCAAAACTGCAAAACATTGCCCATTTAACCAATTCTCTATCTTTAATAATAACAAAGTTACCCATGCAATCCCACGCGGTCTAGGACACACTGTATATATATTGCATAATCAAATGTAAGAAAAAGCTCAAAATAAGGGAAACAGTGTTATTTAACTTTATAATTTCACTAGTTGGCGTTGAAAAAAACGTTATTCTTTTTGTTAGTAATCTCAAAGCAATTTATTGTATCAAAAATAGGTAAAAATTTAAACGTAAAGCTATAAGCTAAAAAATCATTTATTTTTGAGTGGGCGGGGTTTCGGCCAAAGCTGCTCTATCAACCCAACCCACTATACATTTACAAATATTCATACCGGAACCCGGATTTGAACCAGGGGCCCTTAGTACTACAATCCAGCTTCAACTGAACTGTGCCACACAGGCCACAGTGGCGTGCGTCTAACAGGGTCACTTTTTAAAATGTAAAGCACTATTTTTCATTAGGTAAAATGAACCTTTTTTTATAATATTGAATAACAGTTTCTTAAAAAAAAAATTGTTTTGAAGATATATCCAGTGTTCAAGCCAAATGATCACCCTGCATATTCAAACGAAAAAGAAAGGAACTTGAAGTATAAGTACTAACCAAGAACCCGCATTTCAACACTAACAAGTTAATTGTTATTATATTTATTTCTTCATATCAAAAGATTTTTTTAATTATTACATCTTAATAAGATGAAGTTTCCTATTTAAATCTTCAAACTTGAGGATTTTTCTTATAAAGAAATCGCCGTATCGATGGGCCACCTTTGTATCGGCGATATGAATCATGTCGTTATCTATGTAGAAATCAAGCTGAAACACACAGAGATTAGGATACTACGGAAATTAACCGTGGAAGACAACGGACCTCTGAGCCGCTATGAAAGTTTCCGTCTAGACCCGAAGCGCCCTTTGACCATACGATGTTCTTCATCTTGTGCTTGAAGCACAACAGGTGAATTATTAGCGATTGCGTTTCCTTATCCAAATCCCATTTCCCGTCGTTATTTCGCTGGTTTTGTGCCATGAACGTTGCCAGTTTGCTGATGGGCAGAGTGGTGTACAGTTTCAAGTAGCTTCGAATGGTCGGTAACATTCGCTGTTGTTGCACTTCGTCCATAAATACTGTCGTCTGGTGATTGATGGCTTCCTTGGAGAAATCGTCGGGAATTGAATCGGTCCCCGGAGGGCAAGGCGACAGGAATTTAGGGCAAGCGTACACGAAGCAATTCTCGAACTCTTGCAAGTCGCCGTACTGCATCTTGTACATTTTCTCGTGGTAATTCTTCTCGCGTAAGGTTTGCTGTATGGATTCGTCGATGCACTGAGGATGCAAGACTAGACAAATTGCCAAGAGATGGTACATCTGATCCGTCTGCTTGTTAATTTGATCGTGTTGGTAGCTCTTCGTCGCGAACAGCTGCTTTGTGCGCTGAATGTAGAGCAAAATTGACGAGAATGTGCGTATAGCATCTGAGTATCTACGCATCATCATGTACGCGAAGCCTACATAATAGGAGGTCGAAATTTGGCACGCGGGCACGTGGGCGAATTGCGACTTCTTGTGCACCTCAATATTTTCCAACACTTTTATCGCCTGGTAGTAATCACCGAGCAGAGAGTGTAAACGTAACAGCCCAACCAAAGAGAAATACCCCAGCATTTTGTACAAGTTGTGTCGGCCAAACTCCCCGGCGACCGAATCGGATTCCGCACCGGTAGCAAACACCTCCAATTGCTGTTTAATATTACTCTTCTCCACTAAAGAATGCAAGACGTTCAGCACGCACAGTACGTTCCACACCTTATTGCTCGAATTCAGCTGTTCCAATTCTTGGGCGGTTTTCTTCTGGAGACGCGCGCGGTACTGGGCGAACGATTGAAATTGGTAGACGAATTCGTCCACAATCTCCCACAGCCATAATTCCGGAAGCTCCAAGGGAACCGGTTCCGCCTCGCTTAGGATGTAGTTGAATAAGTCGCAGTAATTGTAGAACGAATTGAAGCGCTGTTCTAGCGTTGGTCCCCCCTGAATTCGGGCGTAAATGTGACGGAAATACAACTCTTTGTATAGAATTAGGAAAATCTGAAAAAAAAGACAACGCTCTTTAAAATCAAAATCCTGCGTAACAATAGTACTTTTTGTACCAAGGCGGGAAGAAAGTGGATGTATTCCAGGGCGAGACATTTAAAATGATGCCCGTATGTTTAGTTTAGATTATACACGTTGTCCATTTTTCGAGTGCCACTATGGGGATCTCACTTATCTTAAGAGATAGAAAGTTGGTTAAATGGGGGCAAAGTTGCCAATTTTCGTGCCGAATAAGAATCTGAAAAGAAATTTGAAATATCTTCAATAGTTTTGAAGATATCGCAAAAAACGAAAATTTCTGATTTTCGTTTTTAATTTTTTTATGATAAACTAATCGTAGTAGACATTTCTAATTAACACATTATTCGGACACTTTTTAATGGAGGTTTCAAATATGGCATCCTGTTTTTAATAACTATCAAGAAGACGGAGAAACGCGTGGAAACTTTAGTTTTTCTTATGGGCGCCATTTTGAATTTTCACATTTTGAGATTACGTCTTTTTTTTCTCTTTACAACGATATATCACACATGGTGGTTCAGTATCACATTTTTCCTAAAAATACAATTTTTAATTTTTGAGAAGAGTGCTTTGTAAAAAGAAAACTAATTTCCCATGTTATCCCTATGTTCCTACTTACCGCGCACCACCCAGTATAATAAATATAATCAAAAAAATTGGGATAAATTTAATAGACATAGAAACAATTATTCAAAATGGCGGTTTTCAAGATATTGACATCAACTTCCTTATTTTAAATGGACATCATAATGGGTTTTTACGTCACTCGATAGACAAAAAAATTACAAAACCAGTGATACTAAACACTTAGTATTTCATTTGGGAACCAACCTTTCATTTTTGCCTCGAAGTTTACAATGTATTTCTTATGGCAATAATTCCATGGCCGGTTGTGATTGAAACCAAATTCGTTCGTTTATTGTCTCGCATAGTTACCATCGACATGGCCATAATAAATACATTGTAAGCTTCAAGGCAAAAATGCAAGGTTGATTCCCAAATGAAAGACTGATACTATCACTGGTTTTGTAATTTTTTTCTCTATCGAATGACGTAAAAATCCAATATGGCGTCCATTTAAAATGAGGAAGTTGATGTCAATATCTCGAAATTTTAAAATTTTTTTTTCTACACCCATTGAATCTTGTTATCTTGTAACATTTATTTGAAACTTTTTTCGATAGTTCCCGTTGATCAGAGCCGTCCTTAGCAGATGCGAGGCCTGGAGCGAAATATTTTTGCGGGGCCTTTTTTAACAATGATTTCCGAGGGGGGGGGGGGTTTATGGAATACCCCGGGGGAGAGGGGTTATGGAATACCCCCGGGGGGAGTGAGTCCTACTCCGGAAATTTTTGCAAAATTATACATGCAAAGTCGTCATTTTAAGCACTTTGAATGACTGTCACGCGGCAAAGGGAGAGGAGAAGATCATGCAAGAATGACTCACTCACCGGCGAGCGCGAGGGTTTGTTCGCGACTAATGACTATCACGTACGAATGAGAATTTCGTTCGTAGGTTTTTTAATTAATCAATAGTTGAACATATTTCGCTGCTAATCAGACAGATATTTTATATTATACAGGGTGCCCATTATGTATGGAATGTAGTATATATCTTGGGAAATATCGAATATATATGAAATTATTCCCATAAATGCCAGCATTCAATTGTTTTTATTTCAGAAAACAAATGAGTAAGTAACGAAAAACAATTGAATTTTTTAAATGGCAATGCACCTTTTCATTAGGATCATTTGATAGATTTTTTTCCCTTTTCGATGATATAACATGTTAGTACCCTTAATCTTAATATTAATCTTAGTTTTAATATTGTAAAACAAATCACAAAGTAAATAATTAAGTTATCGCTATCTAACGGTAAAATTATAGCACCTCCAAAAACTATATCGAAATTATTTTCTGAAATGATCGATCTCATAAGTAATCTAACTCAAAATAGACTAGAGCCTGCACATCTACACTATAGCAGAAAGCTTTTAGTGAAAATTTGAGTCTCTAGCTATTGTAGTTGCTAAGATCTCAGCCGGACAGCCAGCCAGCCAGCCATAACGAATATAATAGGGTATTTTTTCAAAAATGCGCTAAAAACTTGAAATAAAAATTAATTTCTTCTACACGGGTGCTAACGTGTTATGTCATTGAAAAGAGAAAAAAATCTCTATCAAATGAGCCTAATGAAAATGTGCGTTGCTATTTAAAAAAATTCAATTATTTTCGTTATTCATTTGTTTTCTGGAATAAAATCAATGGAATGCTGCTTTATTATGGGAAATAAAATGTTAAACAACTTTCATATAAAAAATTGTTGTATACATTCGATCTTTACCGAAATATATACTATATTCCATACATAATGGGCACCCGGTATATTTCTATATTACAATATTATTATATTATTTTCATTGAATCAAAACATATGTATTCTTTAGTGAAAGTAAGGCCTCGCGCGTGAGGCCTGGAGCGGCCGCTCCACTCTAAGGACGGCTCTGCCGTTGATATTTGTTGTTAAAAATATTTGAACTTTTTAAAAATGGCGATTTTCACTTTTTTCCAATTATCTACAAAACAATTTATTTTTTGAAAGGGCCCAAAATCGTACTGCGCATGCACAATACTTTCTTTTAATCATTTTTAGATACTCCACTTTTAAAAATGTTTGATGAATTAATACAGTGAGCCGGAGCCGCACCATGAACAAATATTTAATAGGAGCGAGCTGAGTGTATGTCTTATGAAACCAAATTAAAAATTAGTGAGTGCAGATGTTTCACAGTGATTAGATATTTCTAATCAACCTTTTTCTGGCTAAAATTGTCTAAAAATCGCATTATTTTAGACAATTATAGATTGAAGTTATACAGTGTGAGCAACAATGATTGAAGCGTGCGTCATCACCGCTTGTTCCTATTAATATCAAAACTACCTTCTTTGTATGGAGTTGTATACGAAAATGACGTTCTGCGCTGTCACAGTGACGTGCGTCTATTCGTATTTCGTATCTTGTATCAAATCAGCATATGCTATGAGCGGCACATTGCCAATTTAGCTGAAGCGGCACGCTTCAATCTTTGTTGCTCACTCTGTATAAAAAAAATCAAAATGGCTAAAATTCGCATATAAGAGACGAAAAAACCGAAGAAAAGGACGTTTTTTTTATATCATCTTATACATTTGGCCACGGGATTGTAAAAATTACAAAATCTCTTCATAAAAAATTAACGTTTTTGCCGTAGGGGCCAATTTTCATTTTTCGAAGTTTGCCTACCATTACAAAAAAATTAATAATTTCCCTAATATACAAGGTATTCAAACGGTTGACACGGCAGTTGAAAGAGGAAGCATGGGGCAACCGTATGCCACTTGGGCGCCATAAAAAATTCATAAACGTCTACACAATATGACGTCAAAGTAAAAATTGAAGCACTAATCAAAATGGGCACGTTCCGGTGGAATAGGAGTTTACAGTATAGATGAATTCTGTAGTTCTAATTTAATAAGAGTATACCTGAAACAATAAAACAATTTTTTGAACAGCAAAAGTTTATTCAAAAATAGTGGCTGATTAGAAAAAAAACAATGAAAATGTGCTGTATCGAGATGATTGATCAAATAAGCCTGACCAATCAGCTGCTAGAACCATTCAGATGAGATCATGACTTGGCAATACTGCAGGAGAATGACTTGAATCCCCTATCATGCCCATCAAAAGGCACGGGATGACTGGAGTGCCGGATTTAGATTATAGAGTCGACTACATATGCATTTATTTTTAAGTAGGCAGGGTTTCAGCGGTTTCACACAGAAAAATTCTTGCCCAAACTTGGTTTCGCATCAGGCCCTTCCTGATGTGATTGTCGAGGGTCCATCCAACTAAGTCAAGCGAGCCAGCATAGCAGAACACGAGAAATAGAAAAAGTTAATATTATTTCTTTTGTGCCCGAACAAGTGACAACGATAAACCAGTTGCGGAAATGTGTAATAATAATAATGATAATAATCTTTAATTCAGAAAATTGTAAATAACAATTACAGAAACGTCAAATCACAAACATAACATGTATATATGGACAACATAAAATTTGTGGACAAACAACTCAGGTGCTTAATAACGTGTATTAAATAGGAGTAGATCCTTATTAATTAAATTATATCCCACTGTCATGTTTCAGTAATTACCTCTCAAGGGTATGACACTCAAAGAAACCACCTCATCGAACTTTTACATAAAAAATAGAAGACTATAATCGGTTCAGTTAGAACAGATGACAAAATTTCATCTTTCAATTGACCTCCAACAATTTTTAGAAAAATCAATAATCCTCTTTTTGAATAATAAAGCCCTGTACATAAATCAATAATAATTATTGGTTATAGCGGCATTTACAAGATGAATCCAGACGAGTACAGTGCAAAAATTCAGCAGTACAAGCGACAAATGCAAGACAAGCTGATGGAAAAGGTGGCGATCGTATCAGAGAAGGGTTCCGAAGGTAAGCACTTACCGGTTCGTTTTTAACATGCGCCGTAACGTCGGTCTCTTCGGGCCACGGCCTCTTCTCGAAGTACTCCTCGGTCAGTTTGGGCCAGGTACCCTCGTATAAGTTTTGCAGCTCGAATACTTGACGATCTCGGACGCATTCGCAAAAATACTTTAGGAACTTCACGACCAGCTCCGGCATTTTGAAGTGCTGTCGACTGTAGTCGCTATCCGCGGTTGGGTCGCCGGTGTGGCCGCCATAGTCGGTATCGTAATTGTAGTCGTAATCTCGACTATACCCCTGAAAACAATCGAGATTAGTGACACGAGACAATCAGGTGACAATTCCCTTTAATTAGATTCTGTAAATCTATGGGTTTAATTCCGGCTAAGTACACGGGTGAGTACTCCACACATTCATTTGGGGGCCCAACATAGGGCTGGTGGGTTGTACGTGTGTAGCCAAATTCGCTTACGCTTTACGTAAAGGAAGTAAATAGCGAGTTATTACCTGCTCATAATCATCACTTGAATACATTTTCTCCAAGAAACTTGCACCTCAAACTTTTTAACCTACAAAAATCCACCGTGGCGCAAACACTCACGGAATGGCAACACTGTCAGCTGTCACATATGATATAACCTTGCAGTTAGGTTTAAAACTAGACTTAACAGGAAAAATGTCATAGATTTTCAAATTAGTTTCTAGAAATTTGTAAATATGTTGAACGGTAAATGCGTATTAATTTCGTTCCTCTAATTCCTTCTTTTAATTTCAGTTCTAAGAGGATTGTTCAACACCGATCCGTTACCTACCAAAGTAATCGAAGTCAAACCGGACTTGTATAGTAATAGGCATATTTATTATCGTGAGGACAGCATTATATTGTATGAACCTAACGCGAGTTCCAACAAAAAGGAGCCGCACAAGTATGAAATTGTGCTGCATCGGCCGACCACGGAATCGCTACGGTTATCCTTTAGGTTTTTATGGTCACAAATGTATCCCAGTTATCTATTTCTTTTTTTTAGTGTATTCCGGTCTGAGAGCAGCGAAGAGGCGGAAATTAAATTTCTTTGCTTCAAGGATAAGTTGCCAGTATTTATAGAGATTGCCAAAGATGTAAGTAAATCAGGCCTAAACGGTTTGGTGCCTATCAAATGTGTAATGGTTATCCTGTCGCCCGAATGGTTTAATTATCATTTGTAATACGGCGGCAATGTCATTTCAATGATATTATGTAACATAATCGCTTTCATATCAAATCATTTTGATGTGGTTTCAAATTACCTAAGTTTTTAATTTCCTGCAAGGACAAATTATAAATCTGTGATCAAGGAAGTCGCAGTGGTCACTGAATTAAAGTCCAACACTGTTTCTGAGGATTATTGTGTTTATCACTTTGTTCACTTATTGAAGACATTGTTTAGTTTGAAATTTAACTGTAAAATATTATGTCCAAATTTATGATGAGTATATGATAGGCAACACATCATACACTTTTAACATTTTAGTTCCTGCGATATAAACAAATTTTTGCTCACAGTCTAGATTTTGAACAGAGAGTCTATGTACACATAAGCCCTTTGTACTGTCAGACACTCGCAAAGAATGTGGCAAGCCGTCTCCTCGCGTATATTGCATTGCTTGTTTAATTTACAATGGCCAGAAAGTGTACCTACGAGCAAGTGCAGGTTTTTCCTGTACAATATTATGCAGAACGGAGAGATGATCCTGTGATGGCCTCTCTCGCAATCTGACCTTGTGTTTTGCCTAAGTATCTTGAGTCACAGTGTACAACGGTCTTTGTTGCATAAAGTTTTGAAACCTCCTTTCGTTTGCACACACAAAAAATGATTATAATGACGTCTCCAACAATGGGGCCGATTGAGTCAAGTTTATTGTTGACATTTTGACAGTTTTTTAGTTATAATTTCGCCACTTTGTACGGTTTAATTATATTTAAATTTTCGGCTATTTTTTAGTTTTTTTCATTTTCTCGCAATATGTCTAATTGTCTCTTTTTGAACTACCACAACTACTGTGCAGGTCTTGTGTTAGGTGCACCTTTATTATAGCCGTGGCCTAAACATTATCTTGTATGGTCATTTGTGTACGCAATACTCGTCGGACTATTCCAATTTGACATGTACAATTTTTTGCAGTATTGTAACTTGAATGGAATTCAAAGAGTATGTGATACGTTAACCGAAAACCCTACATGGACCTTAGCCCACTTGGCCGCCTACTTTTCCCTGCACGACTGCTTCAGTAATTCGCAAGTAAATAGTTTTTTAAATAGCTCCGACGAAACGACCGGCATATCACCTTTGCAAGTGGCCATCAAGACCAACAACTTGAAGACTGTTCAAGTTCTGATTGCCGCCAAATGTTCGTTGGAACATCTGGATTATAATGGCAATTCGGTATTTCACTATGCCGCAAGTACGACCAAGGAAATCATATCGGTACGTATTATCTTGAGATTATTCAAACGAGTATAGGAGCATATCTTTCGCTCTTTGCTATCGCCACAGATCTACACATACACAGATTGCTACCCTATTGTATTTTTTGGGAAACAAATTTAGGTATACAGTGACTTTATAGACAGTGGCGACAATAGGAGTTCGGCCGCCATTTTGTGTCAAAAAGTTGGCAACACATATTACACGTAGGCATGTGGTTGCGTTACACATATGGTGAATTAGTATTTTCTAAACGTTTTATTAGTACAATATTAGCGATATAATATGAATATGAATTTGGTTGTTTCTAGTAAGAAACAAATCCCTACAAGTATTATGAGGACATCTTTCCTTTTTAGATGAAAATTGATAACAATTGGACTGAATATCAGAATTAAGAACATTTATTCAATGTAAAATTTTGAATATCTTTGCAGGTGAAGGAAATGAGAAGACAGTAATATCAAGAAGAACGGATTATTACACTCAAAGTATGACCTTTGTTACACACACTTATTAAATAAAACACAAAATTCCTCTCCAATCAATTTATTACAAAATAATTGGTCTAAGCAAAAGACGTATAATTATGATTTTCGCTACCATTGAGTAAGTCTAATTGAAAACACTTTTTGATCATACCACAGGTCACACATCAGTGGGTTCAGCATCATATCTTTCAATTTCCACAGCTCCGCCTGAGTGGATGGTCCAGATTCCATCAACCACAACATATTAGGTTCCGCCACATTCGTTTTCAGCTATTTTTCGATGCCTTTGTCCTCCAATGCTAAATGCACGCGGAAATACAATTAGATACTGAATTCACGGCCATCGACACAAAATTTTCATCGTCTGCCTCTGGCATTTGACCGCAGAAATCGCTAATGTCAGGCTGTCATCTGTCATGATACTATTTTTTGTAGGAATATGGCACCTGTACTTCAAATGTGTCAAACAGTGACGTTTATAGAAGCGCGGGAATGCGCGTGAGCATATCTATTACCGGAAACACGTGAAATTTGACGCAAAATGGCGGCCGTTTTCAACGACCAATCAAAAATTAGACACTATTGTCGCCACTGTCTCTATAGTCACTGTATTTAGGTATAAAGTCACTAGATACAGAAAGTACCGCAATCATCCGCCATTTTTGGGCAAATTTGCTGCCAACTTAAAAAAATTGACAAATAAAATCTGAAGACCTGTCATTTTTTATAACCTAACTTCATAGTACTGTCATGTTTTATAAAAATATATACAGATATCTCCAAACAGGTGGAACAATCCCTAACATTAAAGTTACTAGATTCTGGTAACTTCGGCCATTTTTGGGCAAAAATCATGCGTTCTCTCTCTAACACACGAGCCCAATGGATTGCGGTACTTTCTATATTTAGTGACTTTAGCTTTAATTTTGTTTCAGCGACATCGAACGCATAAATCATATTACAGTTTTAAACGATACATGTTCATACTGCTCCACAATAGAGGGCGCCTTTAAGTATACCTAAATTTGTTTCCCAAAAAATGCATAAGGTTAGCAATCTGTGTATGTGTAGATCTGTGCTATCGCGGTTCATGCAGGCGTGTAGCCAGGATGGTGTAGAGTGGCTGGCTTGAGGAAAATTAATTGTAATTGGATTAACTAGTGACGCAACAGATTTCTGCTTCCACGGAAGTTTTGCATATATTTTCACTTCCGCTTCCGCTATTTTATATCGAAATTTTTCAAATATAGCAAGGTGCGCTCTGATTGGGCGAACAGGACGTGACGTGGACGTGGGTGGCGTTTGTCAGCCGAGCTGGCTGTCAGACTTGTCATGGCTTATTTGTCTTTTTTTGCATTCATTCATCTCATTAGTTCGTCGCAACAATTCGTGCGTTTCCTCTCATAGTTTAATAAACTAAATTGTCTAGTTTTTATAAAATGTATAATAGTCCGTTTCTGCTTCCGCTTCCGTGAAAAAAAAACAGTTTGTCTTTTGTTTCCGCTTCTGTTATACCACTTCCGTTGGATCACTTGTCTAAATGCGGAAAGACTTGACTACCCTCTTGCTTCGGGTTATTCTTGACAAGCTTCTAATGTAGTTTTTGCAGGCGCTATCGCAAGGCTCTTCGCCTCCACGTTGCCTGAACTCGCGCAACGGTAACGGTCACACTCCACTCCACATGGCTTGTCTATCCGATAAAACCGAGTGCGTGCGAGCCCTGTTACTGGCGGGGGCCGACGTAAATATCACAGCGGCTGTGGGTTCTCCAGATCAAGATAAATCGGCGCCCGGCTATGTGGGCGACTTTCTCCAAGATAATCCCAAAAGTTTGTATCAGCAAGATATGAAGTTCGGCGGGACGCCTTTGCATTGGTCGTGTTCGCGGCCCGTCATAGAGACCTTGGTCGATATGAACTGCAACATCAACGCGGTTAACTTCGAACAACGCACGGCGTTGCACGTTATGGTTTTGAGGAACCGATTGGAATGTGTCGTTGCGTTATTGTGCAGAAAGGCAGATCCCGATTTGAGAGATTGCGAGGGAAATACGCCTCTCCATCTTGCGGTTAAAGAGGGCAACATTCCTATGATTCAGTGTTTTGCTGTTTTTGGAGCCAACTTAGATAGTTTAAATAACCTCGGTCAATCACCGCGGCATTTAGTAACCAAGGAGAAGGAGGCAAAGCTGTTGTATTACCTTCATGCCGTCGGCGCTAAGCGATGCCGCCCTGGCACAGATCAGTGTACAGACGGTTGTATTCACGACGGAACTTATGACGGCATACCTCCGAATCCAGTAATGGGTCCAACTAATCGTGATACATTGAACCAAATGCTCGCTGTTGCCGGTATGGACGCTTGTACTGAAACCAGGTCAACCGAAAAGAAAAGAGGTCGACTGCTTTGTTTAGATGGTGGCGGAATTCGCGGATTAATCCTCATACAGCTTCTCCTCGAATTGGAAAATGTCACGGGCATACCCATCCACAACTGTTTCGACTGGATAGCCGGAACGAGCACGGGCGGAATTCTCGCTTTGGGAATCGCCTCCGGAAAATCCATGAAGGAATGTCTTTATCTATACTTTCGCATGAAGGAGTTAACCTTCGCCGGAAGCCGACCGTATCCGAGCGAAGCGTTGGAGAGCATCCTGAAGGACACTTTCGGAGCGAATACTGTGATGGCCGATATTAATAATCCTAAACTATTGATCACCGGTTGTCTCGCAGATCGAAAGCCAATCGAGTTGCATCTGTTTAGAAACTACGAGAGTCCCAATGACATTTTAAATGTTCAGCATACGTCGCCGTTTGAGCCTCCCCCGGCTCCAGAGGAGCAATTGGTGTGGAACGTAGGGCGCGCTACTGGAGCGGCTCCTACATATTTTAGGTACTGTATTGCGCCATGAGTAAAGAGATATGCTCAGTTGCCCTACTAAATTGTGTCCGTTGGCCATATGAAATGCCTTTACTGACAAAATCCAAAACTTTCAAGTGTCAAATTTAATTTTTGGATAATTTTGAACTTAAAATTTCATTTTTTGGGTGTCATATCCCGATTTTTTGGGTGTCATTTTTTGGTAGTTTTCTCCCTTTGTCATTTTGTAAGAGCATATCTCTTAAATCTTACTATAGTATGCCGCTGTGGCTACATGGTCTGTTTCTAGGGCATTTGGAAGATTTTTAGACGGTGGCCTGATTGCAAACAATCCCACCTTAGACGCTTTAACTGAAATTCACGAGTATAACACGGCTCTCAGAGCAGTTGGAAGAGAGAGTGAAGCTAGTCCGTTAAGCATAGTCGTTAGTTTAGGTACCGGTCTTATTCCAGTAACTCCGGTGCACGGTTTGGACGTGTTCCGACCCGAAAGTCTTTGGGATACCACCAGACTCGTTATGGGTATATCCTCGTTCGGAATTCTTTTAGTTGATCAGGTTTGTAGTGTAAATGCCTAACTTTCTTAGTGTTGGTTTGCTACAGGCTACTGCGAGTGACGGCCGGGTTGTCGATAGAGCCAGGGCGTGGTGCTCGACAATTGGGGTTCCTTACTTTAGATTTTCGCCCCAAATGTCCGAAGAAATATCGATGGATGAGAAGTCTGATGAAACTCTATGCAGAATGCTATGGGAGGCTAAAGCTTACATGCATGCCAACATTAACACATTAAAAGAAATATCCGATTTGCTTGGAGCCGTCTAGTCTGTGTCATTAAAACATGGTGTAACAGTATAAAATTTGACTTTTATTTATTCTACACTACAAATACATAAGTTTATATAGGATCGTAGCCATAATAAGGTCCTTCACCATAAGCCTTGAAGGGATCATTCGAATTTCGTCTGATCCTCCTACCAATTGGCTCTAAATCGTTATAACATCTTGAAAACACACGATCTACCGCATTCATTGCATCAATCTTCTTTATCTCCCTTACTGCCAAAATGGACTGCAAGGCTTTGTTTTTTACACAATTTTGATGCGCTTCCTTAAAATCGAAGATGGAAACCTCACCCTCGTACCAAGCAGATAAAAAGCTACAGTGAGTTAGATTAGCTGCACGTATTTCGGTGCATGCCAAATGATCAATGTTTTTAAAATCTAAATTGTTCGTGCAATAGTCAAACATGTGAATCATTTCGTGTGTGAGCACTCCTTGTATGAGTCCTTTTCTTCGTGCCATATTCTGACAAACTACAATTTGATTTAAGACAGGATCGTACCCGCCGGTTACAGTCGGACTGCACTCTTCACACGCGATGTGCCTCCGTATATCGATCGCGCAACCCGAGCTCTTCAACGCGCCCATCATCAGCTTAACTAACGGACTTTCCTTCACGCATTTATAGACGTTCCTTTCACATTTGATCTTGTCAATGGATTCGGTACCTTTCCCTTTGAATAGTACGTCTGTAAGTCCCAGTTTCGGCTTGTTACCTCTTCGTTCCGGATACAAATCGTAACCCCATTGCGCGCCTCCTTCTGGGGAATTTGTGGGGTTGGAGGTTTTATCGCGTTCAGATGAGTCTGTTATAGTCATATTTCTTTAAAGCCCTGGAAAAACATTTAAAAATTACATAACCTAAAAAAAGTTAGGTTATGTCACCGTGTCGCATGCGTTTTGATCGATCGATATACAGGATGCGCGATATATTTAAAGAAACTCACCTATGGTTTTTGAAAAGCAAATGGCCATCGAGTTTGGGAATGAAGTCATAGAGAATAGGCGAAAAAGAAAATTGCTGAACACCATTGCAAAAAGAAAAATTAATTGGAATGTGCATGTTGAGGGAGGTGTTGAAAGTGTATGCGATAGACCTGCCGATGTATAGAAATGTGGAAACGCCTAATAGGACCCGCGCGAACAGAGAGCCATTAACAACCTTTTGATCTTTCAATTAAACTATTTATTGCTATGGAGTATAAAATAGCACAAGGACACATCTACACCATGTAGATTAAAGGGTGTAAAAGTAAATCGCCCCAGATAAACTACCTGTATGTTATGCAACCTTAGATACAGCTGTTAACACAAGTTTAGAGTTGAACCCTCTCTCGGCCCTTTGGACAATCTGTATCTCCTTGTTACCCTGTGAACTATCAACAAAAAATAAAAACAACAAAATAAATTTATTTTCTAGTTCGAACATTTCGTATTGAAGTCTTTTGCCTATACAAACTGGTATGAACAGGTTTAAAACGTGTTTTAGCATCCTTTTCCTTATAATGTCGCAAATCCGTATCGGTTCTTTGTCTATACTGCTGCCACGGATGGACCTGTTCCTCTTCGACCGTTATCTCATCACACCACTCCTTATACCTGCCTTTAAACATTTTGTAACCTTTTTGAAACGTTGTCGATTTTGAGAGTGGATTTTCCTGAAACTTATCCCGTTACAAACATTATTTTGCTATTTAACTTTACCTTGTCATTTGAAATATATTTGCTCTTCTTTCTAAACTCCTCAAGTTTCTGCATGAATTTCGTGCTCGGCTGTATTCCTTCAGATAAACACGTTTCCATCAAAAATAGGACATACTTAAAGTTGTTATGGTAGCAAGCTTGCGTTAACATAGCTCCCAATATCTCAATATTCATTCTACAATGTTCGCTTACAAACTGTTATCGAAGGACAGACTTTACCTATAGTTAGCTTGAGACATTTCGTGAATGACCGAGAGAGCCTCCTCTTGATTTTTGCATACTATTGACAGGACACCATATGTAACCAAGTTTGGTCGATAACCTTCATCAGTGAGCATTGCGAGCGCCTCCTGAAAACAACCGACATCGGAAATGGAAACATTACACAAAACAATCTCACTTTGCACCCCTCGTAGTCAAAACGGCAGCTACGTTTTTTGATGAGCATATTAAAGAAGTCCACGTCCGGTTTTACACCTTTCGCTTTTAAAGCTCTAAGTAAATCAGCTTCGGCGGCTCTAGTCGGTGGGACACTATCTAAAAGTTGTGTGAATGTTTTCACATCCGGAGTACAATTGTGATCGGCCATATTCTCTAGAAATCCCGACCAACCGCCTACAAGCAGGAGGCGATCTTCCGCCTTTAGAACAGTGGATAACAAGAGAATATTGCCCAGACAAGGCACAGGTGCCATAAGATTTGGAGTTTCTATCAAAGCATTCGCTTGTTGTGTTGTATCCGACTCTAAAAGGCGCAGCTCGGGTCTACCTTCCTCCAGCAATGTGTTAATGACGTCAGTCGTTACGCTGATGTCACCCAAACCGCAGTCACGTATACATCTGAGCATTAAATTGTAGGTAAATAACGACGGTTTTATTTTTCTTCGAACAAGCTTACGCCACACCAACAAGGCGTGTCGAAATCCAGCCTCTTTGTCCGTGATGCACGCCTGCAGAAGAAAGTTAAAGGTATCATCCATGATGCCTATGTGTCTGGCGGACATTTCGTCGACTAGACTGAAAGCTGTTGTTAAATCTCCGGCTCGTCCGAAAGCCTTGATCATCACGTTGTAGTTTGTGAGGTTCGGAATATACATTTTTTCCCTTAGGTTGTTTAGTAAGTGGGTGGCTCGACTGAGACCATCAGTGGTGGGCCACGGACTGTTAGCACAAGCATTAAATAAAGCTGTGTATGTGCCCGGGGTAACATCTAACCCTCGCCTTTTCATTTCATTGTAGAGTGAAAACGCCTTCTTGGTGTAACCCACTCGACCGCAACCACCTATTAACAAGTTGTAAATGTAGCCAGGCGGTTTCACCCTGTGTTCCTTTATCATCTGCACCTCGACTATGTCAATAGCTTCCTTCAGCTTTCGCTTCCTTAAATGGTCTTTTATTATATCTGCATACTGTTTTGTCGTCAACACTTGGAAATGCACGGGTTTTTCTTGTATGTATTCTTCTTCCTTTACGTCACCGGGGTCCAATACATCCTCCTCGGCTTCTTGATGTCCAAAGGAATCAGGATCATTCTTGAGTTTAACCAAAAATTCGTTTTCAAGGTTTCTTGCGCTTTGTGTTTGTGCGTAGCAAAAATTAGTATTTGTGTGGAAGTTTCTAGGGACGTGTTTGGAGATATTGTTGATAATTTGACTATTTTTGCAGAGATTCCACCTACTCAGATGATATTTTGGTAAGTTGTGGAGTATTTTACGAAACATAATCGCTTTGTTCATAACCTAAAAAATCAATGTCGAAAATTGAGGTTAAGGTACGCTGTGGCTATTCTCTGGTTCTAACTGTAACATGTAGTGGTTATTATAGGGCTAGAATTGATGGCCTTGGGATAACAAAACCTGCAGTATATGCAACCAACATAACAACAGTGTGTTATGAGTGGAGAGGATTAAATATTTCGTTTGTTTCATGGAGCTTTCTCCAAGTATAGGTACAAAGAAATTCCTCAGATGAAAATAATAGACTGTATTAATTGTCACTTAAATAATTAAAACGTTGCATATTTTCTTTGTTCTTATCTTGCAATAAATACTGTTAATAATTAAAAGCGAGTGGGCTAACTGTGCATCTAGATACAGAGCTGCAGCTAACCGAAAAAAAGGAAGGTTATACACTGCCTTTTTTTGCCCCGAAAAAAAAATTGTCTCAGATCGACCCGGAAAAAAATTTTTCTTATAAAACGTGGCCTGTAGAATCCATAATTTCAAACAGTTCCAAGATTGGGCTACTAGTTCAAAAGTTACAGCCCTTTGAATTTTCTTTCGAAATTGGTTTCTAGTCATAACTTTTGATTGAGAAGTCTGATCGAAAAAGTACGAATTGTTTTGGATTCTACGCACCAAAATTAATAAGAAAAAGTGTTTTCCCGAGAAATTTTGGTGCAGTCGATTTTTGGAAAAAAGGAAGGTTATACACTGCCTTTTTTTGCCCCGAAAAAAAAATTGTCTCAGATCGACCCGGAAAAAAATTTTTCTTATAAAACGTGGCCTGTAGAATCCATAATTTCAAACAGTTTCAAGATTGCGCTACTAGTTCAAAAGTTACAGCCCTTTGAATTTTCTTTCGAAATTGGTTTCTAGTCCATAACTTTTGATTGAGAAGTCTGAATAAATGGCAGTTCAAAATATACGAAGTCTTGCAAGATCCTGTAGAGCAATTATTGTTTAAAGGCCCGATTGTTGAATAGATGATTTAAATACAAGTACTACTGCGCCATCTTTTTGGCAATCGATACACTTTCTATCAATTATAGTTTTATAAGTTTAGTTGAGATGTCGCCACGTACGCAACTTTAAAATTTCATTTGAATTTATGCGATTAATAGCAACGTCGCACCTTTAAATGCAGTGCCGTTTTTAAGTTTTTCGGGGCCCTGGGCCATTCGTTCGTGCAGGCCCTCCTTATCCTCGATAAAAACGGCAGATTGGGGAGATTCAAACAAATCCGAATATGGGCACTCCATATTTGTGTAGCCTGGTTTGTAGGCAACACATCATGCTCAATGAACAGAAAACATTTATTTTTGCAATTCGTAACTTCATATGCATAGGAGTTTATTTAAAGCCCTTGAAAGAACAATTTCAATAACAGGTACATTAAACTGAATCGTTTTACAACAACTTTCACACGAAGATCGCACAAACAACACATTTTTTCGTGATTGCAAACTGCCTAACACTTTTGCCTTATTTCGCTGCCAATTTGACTACCGTTTCTATAACCGTAGTTCTATCAAATAAACTCTAGCCTCAATTCTTTAAAGAATAGCTTCGCACCATCGCCAGCTGCTGCAATCATGTAATCGTTCCGATTTTAACCTCGAGTTTTTGGCGAGTTCTCCACGGTGTCCTCCTGTTTTGGTTACAAAGCTTTTCCCTCTTCAATTTGTGTTGTCTGAATTCAATGCTAACGTTACTCATCCATCGAGAACTACATGTCTTCGATTGAACGACCCAGAGCGAACAGTATCATATTCCGCAAAGGTTGAGTCTGCCGCTTTCCTGTCACTCCCAGTAGCCAGGTCCCTAATTAAACCTGTAAGCGAGAAAGGATATCATTCCAAAGTTCAACAAAGTTTAATTTTTGACTATAAAATAAACAAACATTAATTATGCATTTGAGGTTAAAACTTCATATATCTATGGTATTTAGAAACAGCGTTCTGACATCTAACGTTAGTTACATACAGTACATTACAAATATAGTGTGGCGACATCTTTGAGTTGTAGGTTCCAACTAAAATAATGATGGTAATAAAGTGTCCTGCATTTATCGATAAAATGTTAGTCCCCAATAATAAAGACAGATGTCAGAACAATGTATTCTGTTTTGATTATTTTATTATTTATTAAAAACTCAGGCAAGGCTATAAACATTTTGGGATTTGTGCCTTTCGCTGTCAAAGGAGTAAACCACGAAACTCGAAAATTAAACATTCGCTCCTGTATTATAGCCTATTCCTTTGCGTCATAGCGTTTTTGGAATGCCAAAGGACAGAGCGGGTAAACGGACGGCCGTCCGTATATCTCTTTGGTATACCTATACCTAGATTTTTGACGATTTTAATAAAGTATCTGTTCGCAATACACGAGTTAAATCGCCATAAGAGTACGCCGCAATAAATAAGAATTTTAAATCGGTGATCATTTGAAAGACTTGAGAGTTAAGTTTCATGTGAGTTAGGTTAGATAAAAGATTTGTAAAAATTTAAAACGCCCAAACTAATCTGACCTAACCTAACTACGACTCTAACCTAACCTTCAATCAACTCCTTGAACATTATCATGATACAAGATTTTTGACCTAACCTAACTAGCACGCTAACCTAACCTCACTTAAATTTTATTTTAACCTTCGATCTCCTCGCACATTATATTCTCCTGATACCAGATTTCTGAGCTAACCTAACTAGCACGCTAACCTAACCTCACTTAAATTTTATTTTAACCTTCGATCTCCTCGCACATTATATTCTCCTGATACCAGATTTCTGAGCTAACCTAACTAGCACGCTAACCTAACCTCACTAAAATGTTATTTTAACCTTCGATCTCCTCGCACATTATATTCTCCTGATACCAGATTTCTGAGCTAACCTAACTAGCACGCTAACCTAACCTCACTTAGATTTTATTTTAACCTTCGATCTCCTCGCACATTATATTCTCCTGATACCAGATTTCTGAGCTAACCTAACTAGCACGCTAACCTAACCTCACTTAAATTTTATTTTAACCTTCGATCTCCTCGCACATTATATTCTCCTGATACCAGATTTCTGAGCTAACCTAACTAGCACGCTAACCTAACCTCACTTAAATTTTATTTTAACCTTCGATCTCCTCGCACATTATATTCTCCTGATACCAGATTTCTGAGCTAACCTAACTAGCACGCTAACCTAACCTCACTTAAATTTTATTTTAACCTTCGATCTCCTCGCACATTATATTCTCCTGATACCAGATTTCTGAGCTAACCTAACTAGCACGCTAACCTAACCTCACTTAAATTTTATTTTAACCTTCGATCTCCTCGCACATTATATTCTCCTGATACCAGATTTCTGAGCTAACCTAACTAGCACGCTAACCTAACCTCAACTTAAATTTTATTTTAACCTTCGATCTCCTCGCACATTATATTCTCCTGATACCAGATTTCTGAGCTAACCTAACTAGCACGCTAACCTAACCTCACTTAAATTTTATATTAACCTTTCGATCTCCTCGCACATTATATTCTC